AATCGGATTCAGGCGTTTACATGGCTATTATTCTTCTATTTGACGGATTATTTAGAGGTTTACCCACCTCGTTCAATCGGATAGAAATTGTATTCCGAATGGCCTCAATCAGACTAGACTATTCCGATTGAGGTGTTTACATGGACGTGTTCTATTCCGATTGAGCTATTAGTCGGATTATTAACGGATTATCAGGCTGAATGTAAACGTGGCTAATGCTGACTCGGTAAATTTCTCTAGAAAGACGCATTTCACACAAAATCACTCTGAATGATTTTGTTTACATCTGAACCCCTGAATGATTAAGTGATTTCGCAAAGTCGTTGGAGTTCCCCTTTAAGAGTTCAGTTATGTCTAGAAGAAAAGTGTGATTTTCGTGTTCTGCAAAGAAAAAATATTTTTAAATATATTTCCAGCATCTCTTTAGAGCAAAGGGAAAGGTGGGTAACTGAAAACCACATTTTAACTGGTTTGGTACAGAATGTCCTCATAAGAGCATAAGACTGAAAAACCTTACCTGTGTGTGTGTGTGTGTGTGTGTGTGGCATGCTATGCTTCTTCAATTCTACAAGAACCAGTGGTTACCGTCAAATGCACTTCATTTTTTTTGACTAAAGCCTCATTCTTAGCACAGTAGTGACACTGACGTGGTGGTGGTGTGTTAGTGTGTGTTGCGCTGGTACAAGTGGATCAAACACAGCAGTGCTGCTGGAGTTTTTAAACACTGTGTCCACTCACTGTCCACTCTGTTACACACTCCTACCTTGTTGGGCCACCTTGTAGATGTAAAGTCAGAGACAGTAGCTCATCTGTTGTGCACAGTTTGTGTTAGTCTTCCTCTAGCCCTTCATCGTTGGTCACAGGACGCTGTTGGCTGGATGTTTTTGGTTGGTGGACTATTCTCAGTCCAGCAGTGACACTGAGGTGATTAAAAACTAAAAATATTTTAAACTCAGCAAATAAATACAAATTGTGCACTAAAATAAAGAGTTCTCTGTAAAGGATGGAAGATGTATTCACTTTTGCATATGACTAACCTTGTAGTGTTGAACGTAGATAGTAAACTAATGAAGAAAACATCAACAACAACAATAATATTATGAATAATTTAATAATTTATAATTTAATACTAAAATATGGCGTTATGTTGGTTTAGATGTTTAGTTATGGGTTGTTTAGATGTTTGGTTATGGTTGTTTAGATGTTTGGTTAATGTTGTTCGAGTGTTTGGTTATGGTTGAGTGGTTGTCATTGTTTAAGTGTTTGTTATGTTGTTTGGGTGTTTGTTTATGGTTGTTTTGTCTTTGGTTATGGTTGTTTGGGAATTTGGTTATGGTTGTTTAGGCGTTTGGTTATAGTTTGAGTGTTTTGTTATGATTCTTTAGGTGTTAGGAGTTAGGAGGACTTTAGGAGTGATTTTTTGGGTGTTTGTTTATGGTTGTTTTGATGTTTGTCCTTGGTTATGGTTGTTTGAGTATTTGGTTATGGTTGTTTTGATGTCTGGCTGTAGTTTGGATGTTTGGTTATAGTATAAGTGTTAGGATTAGTCCTGTGAGAGGTCTACATGTATTATGTGTGTTTGCTTTGCAGTGTAAGGTGTAATTGTGTGAAGCAGAACACCAGTTGGGTTTTAGTGGGTATTTATATGGGAAATTTAATCTGATTTATGATACGTTTTGCACCATCCCCTCTTTTTTCACGTTAATTTATAATTGAGCATGACGGAGAGAAATTACAGTTTTCTTTGTGTGGGAGGTGTACAGACGGAAGAAAAGCTTTTGTGGAATCTTAATCATGATGCTGAAATGAAAGGACATATGAGATTGTCGTGCACAGGTGTTCCAGAGCAAAGCTATCACTATAGAAATATTGTTAACATGTCCTCTAGCATGTAGAAAGAATAACAGAATTTCTGTTGTCTGTGAAGTGGGTAAATGCTAAAATCTGATCTGTTTAATGGATAAACTTCCTTTGTGACTGTTAAACAGATCTGCATTAAAGCCCCAAACTTGAATAAAACTGTTTTTTTTGCACACTTCTACAAGCTCGGCATATTCTCTTACGTGCTCAGTGGCAAAACAGAGTGACTCACTGCTTAGCTTTCTGAATAATATCTTTCTGAAGAATCTAAGTACCGGGTTTGTCTAAGAGAATTATAAATGTCAGAATCAAATAATAAACAAATAAATATGCTCACAAATGTTCTTTTAGACTATTATATGTTTCTGTTATGTAAACTTTGTTTTACTATGAGGGCTACTACTTGTCTTTTTTGTTTGATGACTGTAAAAAGGTTTGTAGAATATATTTAATTGCTAAGTTTAATTTATATTGTTCGGTTGTTTAAAATGATCACAGCCATCTGGAAGAGAAAAAATAAGGACTGCAAAACATCTAAATATTGTGTTTTGGGTTTAAAATGTTACCTTTCATGTTTAATCCTTTCATAAATGCACAAAACATACCACTTTAAAACTATCTGAAACAACTCGCACCAACTAGCATTACTACATCTTTAAAATCCAGACATGATTTCTGTTTAGTTCATTTTACTTCAACTGTATTCAAACAGTGTGCAGTAGTAATACTCTTATAAACCATACATTTATAAACCATCACAAAATATTGTTTTTGGGTTTGAGTTTTTGGGCATGCTGTTTGTGGGTTCTTTTTTGCAGTAAATTAACAGAACAGAAATCAGTGTGTTACATTCTGTCAATGTTTAATGTAAAGTTCAATATAGTGTAAATAGAAAGGCAGTCAGGTTAACGTACTCTTTTAAGATAAAACACAGAATGATGGAAATGTTCATGAAAAAGTGAGAAAGGATTCTGTGTTCTAGAGCTGTGAAACACTATGTTGATTTTTCTCAAAATGTTCACGTGGGAAATTGTCTCAGTGACCTTCAGACATTAATTGCTGAGTTATCAAACCTAATTTTAGCTATTGAAAGGAAAATAAAAACAAAGAAAAAAACATAGGATAACCATGTGCTGAACTTTCAGAGGTGTCACTTCTTCCCATGAGTCAAGGTCTTTAGTACAAATACCTAACTAAAGCTGTATGTTGGCACGGGCAGGATATAAACACAGGAAAAATGGTTTGTCAGTTCAACGTAAAAACCCCCAAAACTTTAATGTGGTTACAAACAGTTTAGCTGGTTTTATTCAGTGTAAATGAATACTTTGAATAGAGAATGCAAAGCAATTTTTTTGTTTAGATGAAGTAAAGTAATATTTTACATCAATGCAAACATCAAACAAACATATCAAATGTTATAGTTTTTTTTATTGTTTTTTGAAAACTAAATGCTAAATTTTGAATTTGATGCCAGTGGTTAATTGGCAACAGGTCACTTAGCATGATTGGGTATAATAAGAGCATCCCAGAGAGTCTTTCAGAAGTAAAGATGGAGAGGGGTTCACCACTCTGTGAAAGAGTACATGGGTAAATAGTGCAACAATTCAAGAATAACATTTCTCAACATAAAATAGCAAAGGATTTCATCATCTATGGTACATAATAACATTAAAAGATACCGAGAATCCTGAGAAATCTCTGTCTGTAATAAGGCTGAAAACAAATACTGGCTGGCCGAGATCTTCGGGCCCTCAGGTGGCACTGCATTAAAAACAGACATGATTCTGCAGTGGAATCACTGCATGGGCTCAGAGGCACTTCTGAAAAACATTGTCTCTGAACACAGTTTGTCGCTGCAAGTTAAAACTCCAACTACCATGCAAAGAAGAAAACATATATAAACAGGATCCAGAAGCGCCACCGCATTCTCTGGGCCCAAGCTCATTTAAGATGGACTGAAGCAAAGTGGAACCGTGTCTGTAGTCCAACCAATCAAAATTTAAAATTCTGTTTGGAAATTATGAATGCCGCTACCTTAAGGCTAAAGACCATCCAGGGGTGCGTTAGTGCACATGGCATGGGTGACTTGCACATCTGTGAAGGTACCATTAATGCTAAACAATATATACAGATTTTGGAGCAACATATGCTGCCATCGAGATGACGTCTTTTTCAGGGAAGTCCTTGCTTCTTTTCAGCAAGACAATGCCAAACCACATTTATTACATATTACAACAGCATGGCTGTACAGTAAAATACCTGTCATCCATTGAAAACATTTGGCACATTACAAAAAATACGACAAAGGAGACTCTGAACTGTTGAGCAGCTGAACAGGAACACAGGAAGACTTTCAAAACTACAGCAATTGGAGTTTTTGTAGAAGAAGAGATGTTGCAACACAATGGTAAACTTGTCCCTGTCCCAGCTTTTTAAAAATGTGTTGCTGACATCAAATTCAGAATAGACATATATTTTTCAACAAATCAACATTTGGTATGTCATCTTTGTATTATTTTGAATTAAATATAGTGTTTATATATATTGTTTATAATTAACATCATTGCATTCTAATTTTATTTACATTTTGCGCAGTGTCCCAACTTTTTTGGAAACAGGGTTGTACTACATGTAATAGGAATAATAACAGTAACAGTAGTAGTAACAGTAAGATAAATGCAAAAAGTAATAGTAATAAAACAGTAACGGTAATAATAATAGTAACAGTAATTTAAAATAACATTTTCTGCCTGTATACTAAATTGTGATTTTTGTGTTTTAGGTTTATATCAGCTGTGCACAACATTAAATAGCTCAAAGGTTTTACACCAAGTTGCATCAGACATTTGACCAGTGGTTTATGAAGTTTAAATAAAGAACAGAAGCAAAGATGAAAATTTTTTGTTAGCGTTATGTTATCTGTCCATTTGTGCTCAACTACATCCCTTTAACTGCATTTCATATGTTCTTTAAATCCTTTTTTTTCCAAATCACAAATTTTAATGTTTTAAAATTTAAAATAGTCTTTTCCTTTGCAACACAATGTATAATGCCCTGTATTTCTGATTAAACACTTTTTCCCTGAAATGAATGGCTTACAGAATGCAACAGAGATAAGAATACTCATTCTGTAATAACCCAGCAGGGCGTGTGGGTATGCGTGAGTATGTGTGTGGTTGGTTGAGAAGAGACCGGGAAATGGGTTGAAGACAAGGAGAGCGTGCGAGAGAGTGTGTTCAGTTTCCAGAGGACGTGTTTGAAGTTCAGATGTGATAAGTGTGTTGTGCTTCCTCTCCACAGTGCACAGGCATCTGTGTGTGAGCGGACTGAGCTCAGTCAGACAGAACCACACAACCACGCAGGGTGAGTGAGGCTCTCATGTTTTCTCTCTGGTCCATCTCTGTCGTGCCATTCTGCGTCTTATCAGCGTGTAACAAGCAAAGGTCTGTGGGAACTGGGAGTTAATAGTTGACTCACTGTAAATATGTCAGAGTTAATCGTTAAACCACATAGTAAATTGATCATTGTTGTAATGTAACATTAGAAAAAGTACAAATTGTTCATCCGAAATCAGCAACTATGAAACAGGACTACGTACTGCAACATATGTATGAGTTTTCGAATGCCTTTAAATCCTGATATTTTATAAATAGAGACATCATAACAATTCTGTAATTCCTACTACACATCTTAATCTGCATTATTCTGTTTCTCTTTGAATTTTGCCATTATGTCCAGTATGTTTATGGAAATAAAACTCTTTGTATCTGCATATCTTTATGTGTTGATACTGTAAATCTTGCTAAGACAGCAGCACTTTGTTTTGATTAATCTACTGCTGATGCTCTCTTTGTAGTAAACTGCCTTTCAACTGAATATCTATTTTTTATTTTACATTTTTAATTTGATTTTCTATTTAATGATTAATTTATTCCCTTTTGAAATCTATGGGTTTAAGCATTTTTTAAATTTTAATGTCTTCGTATTTTCTCATTTGTAAAGCATGTTGAATGACTGCAGTGTATGAAAATGCTAGATAAACTTGTCTTGTCTAAAGACAAACTTTCAGTTGAATGTAACAGATTCTATTACACTAATCCTAAACCTAAACTGAATTTAACCTTAACTTTAACCCAAAATCTAAACCTGATCCTAAAACTGGCCCAGATCCTAATGCTGTTGATAATCAGCTGTACATCATCAGATAATTTGTTAATTATTTAATGTCTGTAGATCATCTATAGGGGACTATCCAAAGTGTGACTGATACATGAACAAAAACTATTATTAACCTAAATTATTTTATTAGCTGTCAAATTTTGTGCTAAAGTCAGAGACCGCCCTTTCATTTAATGTCCAGTTAAGATATTAAACACAAATTATTCCTTTTCCAGAAGTTATTTCTGAGGAGATTAGAAATAAAATAATCCCCTTGCATAATTAAGAGGAAAGTCAAAATAAGTGAGGAAGCAGGAGTTTCCAAAGCTTGTGTTAAAAATATGATTTTAAAATATAGACACATTAGAACTTAACTGTACAAGACCTGATAGACCACCAAAACTGTCACTATGAGATAAACAAGCTTCCATCTTTGAGAAAAAGGTTAAAATCAAGCTCCACTCTTAAAAAATAATAATAAAAATAAAAGTCTTTCTGTTCATCTTTCCACTGTGAGAAGACAATTTAACACTATGGATCTGAAAGGATATTTAATTGTGAAGAAGCTGTTACTCAGAAAAGAAAACACAAAAATTGAACAAAGAAGCTGCTCATGTTCTCAGAACAATGGACTGGTCACCCCTGAGCCCAGATCTCAACATGACTGAATGTGTTTGGGATTACTTGGATTGTGAGAAACAGAAAATGCTAAACCAATTTCTACTCCTGAACTTTGGACGTGTGAAAAAATATATCTGCAGATTTCTTTGAAAAACTGAAAGCAAGTAACTAAAAAGAATGAGATCTATAATAAATTCTGAAAAAAATATGTTTTGTTGTTGAGGCATCTGTGTAATTTTCTATTAAACACTTGTTCTCTGCTTTTTTCCTGATGCTGAAAAAAGAATAACTTGTACTTGACCCGATATAAATAAATGAAGGGTGGTCTCTGACTGTTTGTGATACAGTTTGTGATATTTTGTGTTTCTTTTTTAATTTTGTTACAGTTTTCTTGTGTGTATAGTGCTATTACAATGATGGGCAAACTACATGTGAAGCCTTTGCTATTCGCCATTGCGCTGGTAACTGTGGCAGGTATGACCATCATCGCTCTGATCCTCTCTCTGGTTAAACATCAGACTGTGGACCCGCCATACTTAACGCAGGTGCTTTTACTCAACAAACACCATTCATTTCCTTTTGCACTTAAAAATTGACAAGAATTAAATAACCACTAGAAATGACCTAGATGTGTAGTCACTTTCTGATTCACATAGGTTGGACCACACTCACTTCAATAAGTGACTGTGTTCTGATAGTCTGTCTACACCTGCTGGGTTTTATCGGGTAAAACCTGATTGCAGTATTTCATGTAAAAGGGAGAGCTGATGTAGATGATTTATTGTTTTAATAATGCGTGACTGAATGACCTCACTGTTACTCACTGGTTTTGGCAAATATCCTGTGGCAAAAAAGTAAAAAGCACAATAAAGATCAAGATATACTGGCAGTTCGCCATTGTGTTGTGTCCAACAACAATATTTTCCAGCTAGAACTTGATATCTGTAACCGTAACTGTTAAACAAACAAATGTGCTTAAAACCTTAAAACATGCTTGATATATTATACAGAAGGCCTGTTGAGAGAATCAGTGTGTTACGCTAATCTACTGTTAATCTGCAACATGTAAGCAGGTCAGGAAGGTCTGAGTAGCCATTATAAATGTCCAGCGTTTGGAAAATGGATGGATTATTTGTCTTTGTCCAACTTCCTCAGTACGGTATGGTCTTTGATGCCGGTTCCACACACACCTCCCTCTTCCTCTACCAGTGGTCCGGGAATAAGGAAAACAACACTGGAGTGGTTTCTCAGAAACTGACTTGCGATGTGAAAGGTGGGGTATTGCATCAGAAAAGTGCTTTTGTGGGACCCTCTTTGTAGGTACTAGTGCATTTTATGTGTATTGGTAGAATGTGTGTGATTATCTGATGGTGGTATGGACAAATACATTGCTTTTTGTTTGATGGAAAGATAAGTGCTTACAGTAGAGTAGTTTTAATAGCTGTATCTTTTTTTTCTGAGGCTGCTGAGATGAATGTGATTCTTTGTCATTAGGTGATGGTATATCCAGTTATGTCACAAATCCTCCTGGTGCTGGACAGAGCCTAAGAGAATGCTTAGATGTTGCTTTGGCTGCAGTACCAGACAGTCAGCGACGTACAACCCCTGTGTACCTGGGGGCAACAGCAGGCATGCGGCTCCTAAGGTGAGTGAGTTTCTGTCCTCCTTTCAACTCTGCCATTGTTATGATGCTATTGACATTGTTGTTTATGACAGCAGATATTTTCCTCATGAACACTCGTTTGTTGTGCCGCTGGGGGATGTGTCAATATAAACTCAAAGCATTAGTCATATTTTTATACATTGGCTCAAAAGCAAGGCTGTGTCATACATTTGGCAGGACTGTCACATACTGACTTTTAGCTTTTAACTGTTATTTATTATTGAGTGCTAATTTAAGGTTAAACCAACATACCTAATTGACTAACGGCTGCTGTTATTAATTCATCCAAATGGAAATACCTTTTTTTTGCTATATTTAGAGTCATTTCATACAGATGTATATGGCTTATCCACTACATTTTCAGGGCAGAGTGGCAAGTGATCTTGTGTCTGAAAGGCCCCCATTAATATCAACCAGCAATAACTGATGAAATGATGGTGCATATCATTTCATTTCATAGCACTGTCTGTTGTGACAACTGATTAGAAGTCATTCCACAAACAGAGCGTCACTTGAGTCCGCACCATCTGATGCAGAAAAACGTGTTTTTCAATCTTTCGATCTTTCAAAGGTCATCATTAACATGGTGTATGAAAAATTGTATTGCTAGTGGAAAAGGTATGTTTTATGTATTATTTTTGTCAACAATACAGGTTGTAACCTTTGGCATGCTTAGATGTATATCTGTGCATTAAGACAAAATATATTAATTGAATATAAAAAATATTAATTTTGAGAAGAATTTGTTTGTGCCCTTGACTTTAGCTTTCCACCTGGTCACACCTACTTATTTAGCCTTGAACATAATGTACTTTCACAATTACTGATATGATAAGGAATAAATGGCATCATGTAAGTCTTCTTGTTTTCTTAACAGGGACACACCCTAAGCATAACATATCCTCACCGTCATGCTAAATACACAAAGTAAATTGTTTTTTTTGTTTGTTTTTATTCATTTTTTATGTAGTGTACTATTATAAACTGATATTATATAGTAGCAGCTTGATAACAGGAAGCGTGGTAGCCAGTTTTGTATGAAATATTTCAGCCTGTCACATTTTCTGCATCACAACTTCAGCATGAAGGGGTTGGACTTCTCAGTGTTTTTTGGCCTAAAATGAGTTAAAATACAGTGCTTACTCGCAAGTGTAAATTGTAAAAACGAGAATACTGGAATATTTACATAGTAGCAAAAAGGTGCAGCACTTACTCACTGTAAAAACCCTTTATTGAATTTTCATGCTAAAAACAACATACCATTTCAGTCAGAATGGCCTTCTCACAGAAAGAAGACAGACTCCTGGACTGTTTAACCATTTGATCAACACTTTTTACTTGAAACTCCTTCTGTGACTAGAATTGAACTTTTATTTGAGCAATTCTCCACTGACATACTCTAGTTCACCTCATGCAGAATTTCTTTTTTTTCATTATGGTAATAAACAGCCTACACTGTCATGAAAAACATAAACAGTCTTTTATGAAGTGCTTTGTGTTTGTCTTATGCACAGTAAACTCACATTAACGTCAGTTAAACCTACTTAACTACTGTACTACTGTACAAAAGAAGTCTTAACTAATCACCTTTTTAAAACACTTTGTTCCACAGTTTACAAAACCAAACTCAAGCAGACATAATACTTGCAGAGGTGGCCAAGACTTTACAGAGTTATCCCTTTGACTTTCGTGGGGCCAGAATAATCAGTGGCATGGAGGAGGGAGCTTACGGTTGGATCACCATCAACTATCTTTTGGAAGGTTTCATTAAGGTCAGCTCTGCTTTAAAGACATAAAAATCTGACATTGTTTTCTGAGTATGACTCTGTACCATTGATGGTTGGATCATTATATTTTTGTGAATTAAGAATCTAATATTAAAACGGCTGGAATATCAATATTTGATATTTAGCCATCATGACACTGGCATGATCTCCACTCCACTCACTTAAAGGGCAGTTCCACTGCGTCATTCTAGATTCTGATAGAATCTGTTTACCGTGGTGGTGACAGGAATCAGCTGTCAAAAGCACTTAAGCAAGCAAGCAAACAAGCATTTGCTTTGCTTGCTTGCTTGCTTGCACTTAAAAGCTACATCGCATGAATTTATTTCATGAAACAGTTACAAAGAGATTGTTTTACAATAGTTTTAAGATTTTATGCTTGCACAAAATCTACCATTATAAATATTGTATATTAAAACTGTACAGTCGTGTGCAAAAATTTGAACACCCTTGCTCAGATTACATTTTGTTGCTTTTCAAGGTAAATATAAGTTAACTCATTCTCTACAGGGAACTTAAATATGGCATTTTTCTACAAATTTCATTGCACAATTTCTACTTATTAGCTAAATCTAACATATTAGAAAAAATTGAACAAATTATGCACCATAACTTTTGCATATGCGAAATTATGTGTTTTATTGTTTTTCCTGTATGTTAAGTCTAACAAATACGCAGTAATTGTACATTGGAACATGCATATGTTTGTTTTCTATAGAGGATCTTTTTTTTTACTTAGAAAATCAACAATATATGTAATTTTTGACTGGAGTGCACAAACTTTTGCATCTGACTGTAGGTTCACTGGTCGACAGGTTCCTTTTACCGCCTCTGAAAAAGACATTCGAGTCAGCAAGTGTCTCTACAATGCACCATTATACATCAAACTAGACCAAATGGCTTTGTTTACATCTCAACAACTGCGTTATACAGAGATGTTGAACAATCAATTTAATGTCCAGTCGAAAGAAAGTCAAGTGAGCAGACATCTCGTATTTTCTCCCTAGAAGGTCAAATCCCTTCTTTTAATAATTGTAATTCCAATATTCCAAACCCTGATTTCTTTCCCAAACAGTATACATTTGATGGTAAATGGATTCACCCTAAAGCTGGGAGGATTCTAGGAGCTATGGATTTGGGTGGCGCCTCCACTCAGATTTCCTTCACACCCAAAGATCCAGTTAAAGACCCAAATTCTGCAATTGACCTCCAGCTCTATGGCTTCAGGTACGAGCTGTACACACACAGTTACCTCTGCTATGGCAAAGACCAGGCCCTGAAGAGGATCCAGGCGCACCTGCAGAAGGTTAGTGCTCAGACTTCTGATGCTGCAAAGAGAAAGTGAAGAAGATGCCAGAAAGGAAGCGTAAAGATAATAAATACATAGTGACTGTAATTATGTAGTAATCTGTAATTACAATGTTTTTGCCCTGATGTAAACTTTGTTCCATACAGTGCATGATGTACTTTTTATCAGATCATAATATCCTGCCTGCTGTTAACATCTCATGATAGGACCATTAATGATGTTTATGAGTGGTACTCTGCTTTTACGTGGTTGGCTTTCCTAGATGGCCTTTGGAAGGTTGATTAATGGGTTGTCCTGATTTGCTTGAGGTTTATAAAATTAGAAGATTATCAATTACATGAGCTTTATAACAAAGGCTAATCAGTTGCATAAAAAATCCACTGTAAATGTCTTTGCCTTTCCAAAGCCTGTTATTCTTTATTCCTTCTAGACTACTGGCTCCTTAACTACGGTCATCCACCCATGCTATCACAGTGGTTACAATCTGACGGTGGCTCTGGGTGACCTTTACGACTCTCCTTGTGTCGACAAGCCAGTGCCTTTTGACCCCACATTAAAGGTCACTTTCTTGGGGAGCGGTGATTCTCAGCAGTGTTGGTCACTGATGAACAGTTTGGTAAACCTGAGTAACTGTGCGCTTTTTCCAGACTGTGGCTTTAACGGGGTCTACCAGCCACCCGTCAGTGGAGAATTTTTTGTGAGTGTCACAAAATCAAAAGAACTGTCATTCTATTATACTAAATTAGACTAAATTTAACTTTACATTTATACTTCTGCAGACGTTACACCACAGGCATATAGATATAGCAATATCAGATATACAATCTTATGCAAAAGTTTGGGCAGCCCTGGTTACATGGTTTGTTGATTTGTCCAGTTAACATATCCTCTACAGGGAACAAACTATTTCTTGAATTTAACCATATGGCCATAGTTCCTGTAGCAAATGTGTTAACTGAACTTGCAATAATAAAACCAACAGAATATGTCAATTTGACCAGTGGGGCCCAAACTTTTGCACTTTACTGTATAATAAGGCTTTTGTATTTTCGTGTACATTAAAATACTAGTTCCATGTTCATCTCAGGCTTTTTCTGCATACTTCTACACCTTTGACTTCCTTGGTCTCGCTCCGAGGACCCCGTTGCCTCAGGTCCTTTCCACAGTTGACTCCTTCTGCAGCAAATCCTGGGACACTGTGAGTCATCATATGTCTGCACATACTGCATTCAGTCTTAATGATCACACTCTCTAACCTGGCGGTTATGTGTCACAAACAAGTGTCATGATCCAACCCCCATGGACAAGCAGTCATTTTTAGGCTACCTAAATTAGCACTCATAGCAACTGCCAATTATTTTGTTTTTAAATGTTTATGGTGCAGTTTATGATCATTTGTTGATGGCTTTTATCTTTTCTCAGCTTCTGTCACAATATCCAAAGGTGAAAGAGAAGTATCTTCGGGATTACTGTGCTTCAGCTCAGTATATTATGACTATTCTTCTCGAAGGATATAAGTTCAATGCCACTTGGGACCAAATCTACTTTGTGAAACAGGTGAGGAAGGCAACATGAATCCACTTTAGAATTTAATAATGCAATATATTGTAGGCACTTATATCTGTAAAATGTATATGTATTTGGTACACATTTGGCTTTTATTGTTACCAGAGATGAGTAAAGTGACCTAAACCTATCCTTAAGTAAAGGTTGCTTCAGTGAAATGATGACTCAGTTAAAAGTCACTTTTCTAAAAACATCTTGTGCAAGTGGAAGTACAAAAGTAGCCCAAAAACTACGAATGTACTGAATAACAAACATCTGCAGCGACATGTCTTAACACATCCAGTTCCTACCAGCATAAGCATGGCTGGATCTACCATACAGGCGACCTGGGCAACCAAAGAGTACCAGAAGGTTGCTAAAATAAATGAAAACAAACAAAGAAAACAAAACATTTAAATTATTAGTTACCACAAAATTTATTGAATCATTCAATTTGGTAAAAATCTGTTCAGGCTAGTCAGTCTTTGTCTAATAAAACTAGCTGTAAATAACCAATGAGCATCATTATTATGGGTGCCTTGAATCTGGTGGACAGTGACATCTACTGTATGTAAGTAAAACACAAACAAAATAAATGACCTTTTTTGGCATCTTGTTTGACGTTGATTGTGTACATTCATTATCAGCAAGATAATGAGCTGATGTTCTCTCATTAGCATACGTGGCTAATCTTGACAAGGGATTTGCTGTAACAATGTTTGGTCAGTTTAAATATTTTGTTAAAGATGAAAACAGACATGTTTCCAGCCAAACGTATTTTATTGTTTACTTAAATTATGTTATTATCAATGCATATGCGGTGTGTGACATACAGTGTTATGTTTACAGACTTTGTGGAGATGGGGCACCATGATGATCTTACTCTGGCCCCAAGCATAACATCACTGTCCAAAAAAAACAACAACAAAAAAAACAAACAAACAAAAAACATGTATCTCAATATTTGTTAGTTTTCTACATCTGGGTGATGTAGAGAAATAAGCTGGGGACCACATCAAGAACCTGGGGGGCGCAAGTGGTCTTAGAAGACATGCCTTATCAAACGCAGATAAAATAATTTGAACACAAGCGCTGCTAAATGGCTCAACCTACAGGCCGTTGATCACAGGCTAATGTTGATTATGAATTTCTATTGGATGAGCTCGTTATTGAGGGTATTTTAATAATAATATTTAATAATAAATATATAAAAAAGGCAACATGAAAAAAGGTTAAGAACCCCTGTTCTACATCATTTGAGTACAGCATCTGTGCTTCATGTTGTATGGAAACCATGAAAGTTCAGAACGTTTTTGCTTTCCTCTGTAAAGTAACTATTTTGGAGAAGGTTTTTTTTGTTTTTTTGTTTTGAAACAGCAATAATAAGAAATCAAATTTATTGGGTGCTATACTTCTCTTTTTAATGCACTACTGGTTTGAGTAAAATGCTAAATATCAAAAGTGAGAGGTGTGAATGATTGCAAAGCACTGCATAATGAAATTAAACAAAAGGAATTAGTAACTATGTTAATGACTGTAATGTACTGTAACTGAGTAAAAAGTAATTACTACAAATATACTTAAGTAGAGATAAATAAATTAAAAACACTTAGGCTAGAATGAAATGTTACTTGAGTACATGAAAATGAGTAATGAAACAAGTTACAACCCACCTCTGATTATTATAGTCTACTTTAGTTTAAAATTATGGGGGTAAAACAGAGGAAAACAATGTAGGGTTTTTCCGTTTTTCTTTCATGTTTGTGCTCTGACTGAAATACTGTTGATATTCACATTACAGGTGGCAGACAATGACATTGGCTGGACTCTGGGTTATATGCTGAACTTAACCAACCTGATTCCCTCTGAACGCCCTCTAGTGGTAACAGGGGTACAACACAGTCAGTGGGCAGCAGAGATCTTCTTCATTGTCTTTGCACTATTTCTCAGCCTACTTATTCTAATTGTCCTCTGCATATGGAGTCCAGACTCACAGACTTAATGCACGTGATTCTGTGCTTTAATGTACATTTTGGGTACATGACACCAGAGTTGGGATCAGTTCCATTTCAGTGTATTGAACTGACGTTCATCTCATAATTCCAATTGATAGGTATATTTATATAGTTTTGCAGATTAATTTATGACCTGAATTGATCCCAAGGCTGCATTACACAATTCACTGTAAATGTAGGATAATGTAGGTCTGAGTACATATGGTGTTGGGTCAAAAGAGCCAGCAGAACAATATTTTAATAGTATTTTTGCAATTCAACTTAACATGTATATCTGGTTCAAATTGTATTTAAACATTTCAAAGACTGGTTGTACCTCAGTAATCTATGTTATGTATTAATCTATTATGATGGAGCTACTGAATTTCACTTGAACATTACTTGTTCAGTTTAAAGCAGTAGCACAAAGCATGTAAAGAGAAGCTGATTAAATAATTCAATTAAATGAGAAAATTCTTTACAGAAGTTAATGAAGACGATCGATAGTGTGAATAAACATTTTGAAATGCAGCAACAATCTACAACATTTGCTATATTAATATGGTTTTGTGCACATAAGTTTTATTAAGTGTGTGGACAAAAATGTGTGTGTGTGCTTTTAACAGCAACCTGACTTCTTCTGTGGTTGCTTTGGCTGTAATATTGCTTGTTCCTCCTCTCTCCTCACATTCTGTTTCACCAGTAACCTGGAGGCAGTGAGACAGTTATTATACATGCAGTACTGTACAGAAGTCCGAGACAGTCTTTAAGTACAAGTTATTCATTTTCCTGCACCAAACATACATTTAAAGGACCCATATGAAATTGAATTGTCCTCACTTTTTCAAATAAAATAGTTTGATGTAGCGCAAGCAGTCCATATAAGGAAACATTTTGAATTCACTGTTTCTGTGATGTAATGAGAACCAAGGCATTGGCTTATATCTGCTTATTCAGCATACAGCTGAGGCACAACACAGGGCCAATCAGAGTAGAGCTGATTTTTATATACACCGATCAGGCATAAGATTATGACCACCTCCTTGTTTCTACGCTCATTGTCCATTTTATGAGCTCCACTTACTATATAGGTGCACTTTGTAGTTCTACAATTACAGACTGTAGTCCATCTGGTCAGGACCCCCATGGACCCTCACAGAGCAGGTACTATTTGGGTGGTGGATCATTCTCAGCACTGCAGTAACACTGACATGGTGGTGGTGTGTTAGTGTGTGCTGCGCTAGTGTAAGTGGATCAGACACAGCAGTGCTGCTGGAGTTTTTAAACACCTCAGTGTCACTGCTGGACTGAGAATAGTCCACCAACCAAAAACATCCAGCCAACAGCGTCCTGTGACCACTGATTAAGGACTAGAGGATGATCAACACAAACTGTGCAGCAGCAGATGAGCTACTGTCTCTGACTTTACATCTACAAGGTGGACTGACAAGGTAGGAGTGTCTAATAGAGTGGACAGTGAGTGGACACAATGTTTAAAAACTCCAGCAGCACTGGTAAAAGGGGGCTAACAAAGTATGCAGAGAAACAGATGGACTACAGTCTGTAATTGTAGAACTACAAAGTTCACCTATACAATAAGTGGAGCTGATAAAACGGAAAATGAGCGTAGAAACAAGGAGGTGGTCATAATGTTATGCCTGATCGGTGTAAATATATATATATTTAAGTCTTGAAGACACATTATAAAAAGAGTTAGGAAAAAGGTCATGTAAAAAAATCATTAATTATGAATGTTTTTGGTACATGCAACCAGGCCAATGTCTTAAGAGAACCTCAGGGGGAAAAATAAAATACAAGAAAAATGTAGGATGTGGGATCTTTAACAGAAAATGACACAGAAAACTTAATGACAATGTAATATCAAAATTTTCAGTATTTCAGTGTCCACACTTTGCCTTTATTATGGCTTCCATTTTTAGAGACTTGATTTCAGTTTTTCAATAATATCTGCAGGAATATTTTTCCACACATCCAATCACAAATTTAAATTCTTTAGTCCATAAAACCTTACTCCACATCTCAACTCAACTCAACTATATTATCTTATATCTAATCTCCTTTGAAGTATCTCCTGAATGAAGAATATCTTGTACATAATGGTTGTTTTAATGGGAAATTAAGAGTTTTTTACTTCTGCACAGCACTATGCATACATAAACACTTAGTACACTTATAAGTTTGGCTACGGCGGAAAAAAGTTTGTATGTAGTTTATCACTTACCAAGCTAAAGACTTCATAGATTCTGACACATTCTCACCAGTTGCAGCACTGCACTCCATAAAATGAATGTTATACTCCTACATTGGTGAAAATGACACAATGTTATACAAAATTAATTTGTTTTCTTATTATTTTTTGATAGTCAAAAATGTTCTTACATAGACTAGAGTAACTGTCTATATAAGTAGACAAGTATAACTTAAGTCTAGTTTTATAAACATGAACATTATCACCACTATTCAAGTTGGCATGGTGATGTTACTGTACCCTTGACAGATCCTCCCCTTCCTTGAGCTGGACTTCTCGCTCTGCAGAGTCATTCTTATTGCCAAGTAACATCATGGTGACATCAGCAGGAGCTCTTTCCTGTGCAAGATTACATTTGATTAATGGAGCCAGAAGGGAGGGAATGAATACTGAGTGATAATGAATTAAATGAAATGACACAAGATATTAAAGGTGGACCACAAACACCATACTTCATTTAAATGGTCATGCCATATCGATGACATATCCCAAAATAATACCATTAATAGTCAATAATTTTTTCTTTTTAATTTTGATAATGGATCAACCAACCTGAATCTGGGAGATCCAGTTACGCACTGCACAGAAACTCTGAGAGGATGTGATGTCATACATCAGCAGAAGCCCCTGGGCCTTGTGGAAAACCTGTCTAGTGATGCTGTGATACCTAACAATGATGTTTCCATAAATTAATAATCATAAACACTTAATAGATTCGCTATAACAGCAAGTACAGTCTGTCAGTTGATATCTTACCTCTCCTGTCCTGCTGTGTCCCATATATGCAGTTTAACAGTTCTGTTGCCCAGTGTAATGGTCTGAACAAAGGTGTCAACACCTGAATACATAAAGGCATGCACATACACAAACCCTGTCAGTACTGGATAATAGTTTATGCACAAGTATCAGTTGCTCACACTGAATCCTCAGACTCACCAATAGTAGAACCATAATCCTTGCTGAAGAGTCCACTCTGGAAGCGTCTAATGAATGACGTCTTCCCCACACCGCAGTTTCCCACCATCACCACGTTATACACAGCCACTCCAAAATCTGGAACTACACAAGAACATTTAGTTTGCAGCATGTTACTCTTAAAGCAATAGTTCAGCAGCAAATCAAATTTATACAATTTTTGTCTTATCCCAGATGTAGATGATCAGACAAAACATGTTTGGTATCCGAAGTTTGCTTCTTCAGATTTCTGACACTCCCTGGCAGGGGTGCACAACTCGTGTGATGATTTAAGCATATAGTTTGCATCATGCTCATTGGCGGGGTATAAGCGTCCATAACTTTTTAGCTTCAAGAGGAAACTGGAGAAGCAAACTTTGGACAGCTTACATGTTTTGGCTAATTGACTACATCATCAGGTAATGTCAATCGTGTTTTATTTTTCTTTTTTTGGAAATTATCACTTTAGTTTCAGCCTGCCAAAACAATTCTCCGCACCACCCATACCCCAGATTCTTTCCTCCTAGTATGTCCATTACAGCTCTTACTTTGCTCATCCCATCTCTCAAAGTCAATCATTTCTCTTGTTCCAGTCCTTCCATTATAGAGTGAGGACCTTCTGAGATCATCCAAGGAGTCCAGGCCAGTTCTTGTAGATATATCAGCTTCATTCACAACAGATTTTTCATTCTGTTCATTACTTGGGCTGTAGAAGAAAAACAAGACAGAAATTGTTTGATCATTACTGACTGACTGTCAGAATTCATATTCAGTTCACTTCTATAGACGTCAGAAGCCAAATTATGATATAAACTGAGAGTGGCAGAACCCAGAAGAATTAACAGCAGGCAAAATCCCTGTACAACTCTATGCATACTATATTATATTATATGCATACTATATTATACTGTTATACTACTCTCTCATAAAAATAAAAAAGGGCAAAAAGCTTTCTCTGCACAATACCACGAAAGAACCACTTTCAGCTCCCTTAAGAGCCTTAAATGGGTGGTTCTTTAGAGAACCATTTTTGTGAGATGTGTATAAGTGTGAAGAACCTTTTTCAAGTTTAAAAAAAGCTAAACACCAGGATGTAAAGGTTCTAGGAACTAGATTGGTATATACTTTTACATCATGTGAAGGTTCTTTAAACCTTTAAAATGCTTTTCAACCACAAATCACTTTTTTAAACATAGTTCTTCAGGGAAGCAAAAGCTGTTATTCATCACTCCAAGAACCCTTTGTGGCAACTTTTTAAGAGAGTATATGTAGGTTTTGTTAACCATCATTCATATTGTACTACATACATGCAGAGTAAGAACTGATTGTTTGGAGATAGGACAAAAAGAATGGGATCCTCAACCATTGCCTTAGATCCCAGAGACATTTCATTTATACCTAGCTTTTGTGTCTTCATGGGCAGAGATTGGTTGAGAGACCGGAGTGCTCTCTTGTCCTGGAATGAAATTGGGATCAACCTTTGAAACAGAGAAATGTTTAAAATCAGTTAAATTAAGCAGAAGAATACTTAAAAGAACAGAGAAGAAGTGTAGGAATGAATTCTCAGAAATAAGTGGCAAATACATACTGTTAACTCATCAGTGAACACTTGGACATCTTCTGTTTCTTTCTGGTTGAGCTTAAATTCACCTTTTGCCGTGCGTCTGGACCCAAACTTTCGCCTACCTTCTGGAATGGGATGCTCTGTATTATTCTCATCAACTTGAGAGACAGCTTGGACTTTAGCTGTAATGCCAACAGATCCTTTCACATCTTCTGTGATTTTTAGTGTAGCGGTTTCTCCCTCTAGTTCACTGTTTGTTCCAAGTGCCAAATTCTCTGTGTCCTGTTCAGTGTCTCTGCTCTCGTCCCTTGGTTCTTCTGTCTGCCTGTTTCTAGGTGTCTTGCGTGTGGACCCCATTTTTCTTCTTCTTCCGGGGGAGCTTGGTTCAGTGGAAGTTTGAGAGCTTTGAGATGGTGGTAGTTCAAGAGTGCTTTTGCCTTGCTCAGCTTTTGGTTCTGGGATTCCTAATATATTCTGTTGATTGTCATCTGTTTCTAAAGGCTTGTTTAATGAGCTTTCCAAGATTTCTTCACTAATGGAATGAGCAGTGGTATTCAGGGGACTTTGACAACTCTTTTTCAATTCATACTCTATCTCACCGAGAAGTGACCCTTCTGACTGATCAAGCATGTGGTGAGTTTGCAGTTCATCCTCTTGCCCTATCATCTCTACTATGATGCTCCGTCCGAAGCCTTTGTCATCAAGCACTGTATCTTCTCTTGCTGTTGATTTTGTCTCTTCTTTAATAATATCTTCAATAGATTTTGGGTCCATATCCCCTGTTCCTTTGTCCCATGTTTTTTTGCCATCTGCTCCCTTGAAATTCTTGCGAGTTGAACCCATCTTTCTTTTTTTCTTGTCTAATTTTTCAAGTTCGGGTCTTATGATGGTGATTGATTCTGAGGGCTCAGACTGCCTCTCCATGGACTGATGACATGTTTCAGTAGGAATTGTAGGAATGAAGCTCAGCCTCTCAACCTCTGAATTACTTTCCTCAGCAATTGGTACGCTTTCTTCTACTGTTTGTTCCTTGCTGCTTTCTTTTTCTTTCATTTCCTCAATAAGAACGCCAAGTGACACCTCACTCACTGCATTCAGTGATTCAGTAAGCAAGTTTGAAGTAACTGCTTGATGGGTTTCTTCAGAACATCTCTCTTTCTCATCATGATCAAATCCTTCTGTGGCTTCCACATCTTTCCATCTTCTTTCCTCTCCTTCAGTGTCTGGTCTGTGTCCTCCTTGAGGCCTTCGAGTTGATCCAAATTTCCTCTTTTTCTTACTTTGGCTTTGTGTTTGAAGGTCTGCATTTCTCATTTCTACATTTTCTTCACTATTCCCATCATCTTCCTTGGAATCTGAATATTCTGTCACTGGTGATGGTTGTTTGTTAGTAGTTAAACCCAGTTCAGTTGTTTGAGAGGATAATCCAGAATACATATATTGTTCTGGACACACTTCTATAAAATTCTCAGTGGTGGAATCTTCTGTATGACTGGCTTTTAATTCTTCCTTTATCTCTTCTCTCTCCTCCTCCACAACTTCCGTCTTTCTGATTGATATGTTAGATGTTTCTGTAAGATACACATCATTCTCCTCTCCATATGTGTCTTCATCATCTTTTTCACCTCTTTCTCTCTCTTTTTCATTTATCTCTTCAATAGTCTCTTTCAGGCCACCTCCATGGAGTCTCTCTCTGTGACTCCGTCGAGTTGACCCCATCTTTCTCCGTTTCCCAGATGTGCTGAGTTCTAAATTCTCTGTTATGACATTCTCCTGAGTGGTTTTTGGTTCTTGTATGTGAACGAGTGAGCATATGCTTTCGACTTTCTCTAGTTCTGAGTCTTCATATGTTGGCTGGTCTTGTTGGTCTTTGGATATGCTTTCATCAGATGGTCCTTGTCCAATCTGCTCAGAAACAAGTTCATGAGTATTTTCTGTATTCACTGGAATGCCTAAGATGTCCTGGGCCTCAGAATTAAGCTCCACTGTTCCACATGTAGGAGTAACATGAACTTGGTCGGGGCTTCTGTTTTCAGTACTCTCCATATCATGGCCTTCGACAAGGTATGTGGAAGCATCATTCTGAATTTCTGTGACGACTGGTGGTATTTTCTGCTTATTTGAAGATGTGGACTCATCATCCCTCTCATACTCCACTGCTGATTGTCCATGTTCTTTTGTAATCTCCACTATTTCTTCTGCTGTGCATACATCATTATCAATAAAGTGAACAAGAGTATCTGTCAATGTGACATGTGGTCTATCAGTAATTCCCTGCTCTCCTGTTTCATCATTTGATTCAATCATTTCTTTTTCCAAGGGTAGTTCAGGGATGCCAAGTAACACCTCACTTGCAGCACTGTGTGGTTCAGTAAGCAACTCTGAAGTAGTTGCTTGATGAGTGGTTTCTTTAGAACATCTCTCTTCCTCATCAACTTCAATTTCTTCTGTAGATTCCACATCTTTCCATCTTCTTTCCTCTCCTTCATTGTCTGGTCTGTGTCCTCCTTGAGGCCTGCGGGTTGATCCAAATTTCCTCTTTTTCTTACTTTGGTTTTGTGTATGTAGTTCTGTGTTTTTTATTACTACATTTTCTTCACTATTCCCACCATCATCCTTGGAATCTGAATGTTCGGTCACTGGTGATGGCTGTATGTTAGTGGTTAACCCCAGTTCAGTTGTTTGAGAGGATAATCCAGAATCCATATATTGTTCTGAACACACTGCTATAAAATCCTCAGTGGTGGAATCTTCTGTAGGACTGGCTTTTAATTCGTCCTTTATCTCTTCTCTTTCCTCCTGCACAACATCCATCGTTCTGCTTGATATGTTAGATGTTTCTGTGAGATGCACATCATTCCCCTCACTATACGTGTCTTCATCGTCTTTTTCACCTCTTTCTCTCTCTTTTTGATTTATCTCTTTCAGGCCACCTCCATGGAGTGGCTCTCTATGACTCCTTCGAGTTGACCCCATCTTTCTCCGTTTCGCAGATGTGCTGAGTTCTAAATTCTCTGTCATCACATTCTCCTGAGTGGTTTTTGGTTCTTGTATGTGAACGAGTGAGCACGTGCTTTCGACTTTCTCTAGTTCTGGGTCTTCATTTGTTGGCTGGTTTAGTTGGTCTTTGGATATGCTCTCATCAGATGGTCCTTGTCCAATCTGCTCAGAAACAAGTTCATGAGTATTTTCTGTATTCACTGGAATGCCTAAGCTGTCCTGGGCCTCAGAATTAAGCTCCACTGTGCCACATGTAGGAGTAACATGAACTTGGCTGGGGCTTCTGTTTTCAGTACTCTCCATATTATGGCCTTCGACTATTATAGATGCTTCCTGAGAAGAGTCATGGTATGTGGAAGCATCATTCTGAATTTCTGTGACCACTGGTGGCATTGTCTCTGAAGATGTGGACTCATCGCCCCTCTCATACTCCACTACTGATTGTTCATGTTCTTCTATAATCTCCACTAGTTCTTCTGCTTTGCTTACTTCATTATCACTATGGTGAACAAGAGTATCTGTCAAAATGACATGTGGTCTATCAGTAATTCCCTGCTCTCCTGTTTCATCATTTGATTCAATCATTTCTTTTTCCAGGGGTGGTTCAGGGATGCCAAGTAACACCTCACTCGCATCACTGTGTGGTTCAGTAAGCAAATCCGAAGTAGTTGCTTGATGAGTGGTTTCTTTAGAACATCTCTCTTCCTCATCAACTTCAATTTCTTCTGTAGATTCCACATCTTTCCAGTTTCTTTCCTCTCCTTCATTGTCTGGTCTGTGTCCTCCTTGAGGCCTGCGGGTTGATCCAAATTTCCTTTTTTTCTTACTTTGGTTTTGTGTATGTAGTTCTGTGTTTTTTATTTCTACATTTTCTTCACTATTCCCACCATCATCCTTGGAATCTGAATGTTCGGTCACTGGTGATGGCTGTATGTTAGTAGTTAAACCCAGTTCAGTTGTTTGAGAGGATAATCCAGAATCTATATACTGTTCTGAACACACTGCTATAAAATCCTCAGTGGTGGAATCTTCTGTAGGACTGGCTTTTAATTCTTTCTTTATCTCTTCTCTCTCCTCCTCCACAGCTTCATTCTTTCTGATTGATATGTTAGATGTTTCTGTAAGATGCACATCTTTCTCCTCTCCATACGTGTCTTCATCGTCTTTTTCACCGCTTTCTCTCTCTTTTTCATTTATTTCTTCAATAGTCTCTTTCAGGCCACCTCCATGGAGTGGCTCTCTATGACTCCTTCGAGTTGACCCCATCTTTCTCCGTTTCGCAGATGTGCTGAGTTCTAAATTCTCTGTCATCACATTCTCCTGAGTGGTTTTAGGTTCTTGTATGTGAATGAGTAAGCTTGTGCTTTCGACTTTCCCTAGTTCTGCATCTTCATTTGTTGGCTGGTCTTGTTGGTCTTTGGATATGCTTTCATCAGATGGTCCTTGTCCAATCTGCTCAGAAACAAGTTCATGAGTATTTTCTATATTCACTGGAATGCCTACACTGTCCTGGGCCTCAGAAATAAGCTTCACTGTTTCACATGTAGCAGTAACATGAACTTGGCTGGGTCTTCTGTTTTCAGTACTCTCCATATCACATTTTTCAACTACCTGAGAAAAGTCATGGTATGTAGAAACATCATTCTGAATTTCTGTGACCACTGGTGGCGTTGTCTCTGAAGATGTGGACTCATCGCCCCTCTCATACTCCACTACTGATTGTCCATGTTCTTCTATAATCTCCATTAGTTCTTCTGCTTTGCTTACTTCATTATCACTATGGTGAACAAGAGTATCTGTCAAAATGACATGTGGTCTATCAATAATTCCCTGCTCTCCTGTTTCATCATTTGATTCAATCATTTCTTTTTCCAAGGGTGGTTCAGGGATGCCAAGTGACTCCTCACTCGCAGCACTGTGTGGTTCAGTAAGCAACTCTGAAGTAGTTGCTTGATGAGTGGTTTCTTTAGAACATCTCTCTTCCTCATCATCTTTAATTTCTTCTGTAGATTCCACATCTTTCCATTTTCTTTCCTCTCCTTCATTGTCTGGTCTGTGTCCTCCTTGAGGCCTCCGGGTTGATCCAAATTTCCTCTTTTTCTTACTTTCTCTTTGTGTATGTAGTTCTGTGTTTTTTATTTCTACATTTTCTTCACTATTCCCACCATCGTCCTTCAAATCTGAATGTTCAGTCACTGGTGATGGCTGTATGTCAGTGATTGAACCCAGTTCAGTTGTTTGAGAGGATAATCCAGAATGCATCTCTTGTTCTGAACACACTGCTATAAAATCCTCAGTGATGGAATCTTCTGTATGACCGGCTTTCAATTCGTCCTTTATCTCTTCTCTCTCCTCCTCCACAGCTTCATTCTTTCTGCTTGATATGTTAGATGTTTCTGTAAGATGCACATCTTTCCCCTCACTATACGTGTCTTCATCGTCTTTTTCACTGCTTTCTCTCTCTTTTTCATTTATCTCTTCAATAGACTCTTTCAGGCCACCTCCATGGAGTGGCTCTCTATGACTCCGTCGAGTTGACCCCATCTTTCTCCGTTTCCCAGATGTGCTGAGTTCTAAATTCTCTGTCATGACATTCTCCTGAGTGGTTTTAGATTCTTGTATGTGAACGTGTGAGCATGTGCTTTCGACTTTCTCTAGTTCTGGGTCTTCGTTTGTTGGCTGGTCTAGTGGGTCTTTGGATATGCTTTCTTCAGATGGCAACTGTCCAACCTGGTCAGAAACAAATTCATGAGCATTTTCTGTATTCACTGGAATGCCTACGCTGTCCTGTATCTCAGAATTAAGCTCCACTGTGCCACATGTAGGAGTAACATGAACTTGGCTGGGGCTTCTGTTTTCAGTACTCTCTATATCACATTCTTCAACTACCTTAGAAAAGTCATGGTATGTGGAAGCATCATTCTGAATTTCTGTGACCACTAGTGGCATTGTCGGCTTATCTGAAAACATGAACTCATCGCCCCTCCTATCCTGCACTACTGATTGTTCATGTTCTTCTGTAATCTCTACTAGTTTTTCTGCTTTGCTTACTTCATTATCACTATGCTGAACAACAATATCTGTCAGTATGACATGTGATGTGTCAATCATTCCACACCCTCCTGTTTCATCTTTTGATTCATTTATTTCTTTTTCCAAGGGTGGGTCAAGAATGCTAAGTGACTGCTCACTCACAACACTCTGTGGTTCAGCAAGCAAGTCAGAAGAAGCTGCTTGACTGGTGGCTTCTTTAGAACATCTCTCTTCCTTGTCATGTTCAGTTTGTTCTGTAGCTTCCACATCTTTCCTTTTTCTTTCTTCTCCTTCATTGTCTGGTCTGTGTCCTCCTTGAGGCCTCCGGGTTGATCCAAATTTCTTTTTTTTCTTACTTTGGTTTTGTGTCTGTAGTTCTGCAATTTTCACTTCTATATTTTCTTCACTATTCCCATCATCTTCCTTGGAATCTGAATATTCAGTCACTGGTGATGGCTGTATGTTAGTAGTTAAACCCAATTCATTTGTTTGAGACAATAACCCAGAATCCATGTATTGTTCTGAACACACTGCTGTAAAATCCTCAGTGGTGGAATCTTCTGTAGGACTGGCTTTTAATTCTTCCTTTATCTCTTCTCTGTCCTCCTCCACAGCTTCATTCTTTCTGCTTGATATGTTTGATGTTTCTGTAAGATGCACATCTTTCTTCTCTCCATACATGTCTTCATCGTCTTTTTCACTGCTTTCTCTCTCTTTTTCATTTATCTCTTCAGTAGACTCCTTCAGGCCACCTCCATGGAGTGGCTCTCTATGACTCCTTCGAGTTGACCCCATCTTTCTCCGTTTCCCAGATGTGCTAAGTTCTAAATTCTCTGTCATCACATTCTCCTGAGTGGTTTTAGGTTCTTGTATGTGAACGACTGAGCATGTGCTTTCGACTTTCTCTATTTCCGAGTCTTCGTTTGTTGGCTGGTCTGTTTGGTCTTTGAATATGCTTTCATCAGATGGCAACTGTCTACTCTGGTCAGAAACAAGTTCATGAGTATTTTCTGTATTCACTGGAATGCCTACGCTGTCCTGGGCCTCAGAATTAAGCTCCACTGTGCCACATGTAGGAGTGACATGAACTTGGTCGGGGCTTCTGTTTTCAGTACTCTCCATATTATGGCCTTCGACTATTATGGATGCTTCCTGAGAAAAGTCATGGTATGTAGAAACATCATTCTGAATTTCTGTGACCACTGGTGGCGTTGTCTCTGAAGATTTGGACTCATCGCCCCTCTCATACTCTACTACTGATTGTTCATGTTCTTCTATAATCTCCATTAGTTCTTCTGCTTTGCTTACTTCATTATCACTATGGTGAACAAGAGTATCTGTCAATATGACATGTGGTGTATCAATAATGTCATGCTCTTCTGTTTCATCATTTGATTCAGTCATTTCTTTTTCCAAGGGTGGTTCAGGGATGCCAATTGACACCTCACTCTCAGCACTGTGTGGTTCAGTAAGCAACTCTGAAGTAGTTGCTTGATGAGTGGTTTCTTTAGAACATCTCTCTTCCTCATCATCTTCAATTTCTTCTGTAGATTCCACATCTTTCCATCTTCTTTCCTCTCCTTCATTGTCTGGTCTGTGTCCTCCTTGAGGCCTGCGGGTTGATCCAGATTTCCTCTTTTTCTTACTTTGGTTTTGTGTATGTAGTTCTGTGTTTTTTATTTCTACATTTTCTTCACTATTCCCACCATCATCCTTGGAATCTGAATGTTCGGTCACTGGTGATGGTTGGATGTTAGTAGCTAAACCCAGTTCAGCTGTTTTAGAGAATAACCCAGAATCCATGTATTGTTCTGAACACACTGCTGTAAAATCCTCAGTGGTGGAATCTTCTGTAGGACTGGCTTTTAATTCTTCCTTTATCTCTTCTATCTCCTCCTCCACAACTTCATTCTTTCTGATTGATATGTTACATGTTTCTGTAAAATGCACATCTTGCTTCTCTCCATACATGTCTTCATCATCTTTTTCACCTCTTTCTCTCTCTTTTTCATTTATCTCTTCAGTAGACTCTTTCAGGCCACCTCCATGGAGTGGCTCTCTATGACTCCTTCGAGTTGATCCCATCTTTCTCCGTTTCCCAGATGTGCTGAATTCTAAATTCTCTGTCATCACATTCTCCTGAGTGGTTTTTGGTTCTTGTATGTGAACGTGTGAGCACGTGCTTTCGACTTTCTCTAGTTCTGAGTCTTCATTTGTTGGCTGGTCTTGTTGGTCTTTGGATATGCTTTCATCAGATGGCAACTGTCTACTCTGGTCAGAAACAAATTCATGAGTATTTTCTGTATTCACTGGAATGCCTAAGCTGTCGTGTATCTCAGAATTAAGCTCCACTGTTCCACATGTAGGAGTGACATGAACTTGGTCGGGGCTTCTGTTTTCAGTACTCTCCATATTATGGCCTTCGACTATTATGGATGCTTCCTGAGAAAAGTCATGGTATGTGGAAGCATCATTCTGAATTTCTGTGACCACTGGTGGCGTTGTCTCTGAAGATGTGGACTCATCGCCCCTCTCATACTCTACTACTGATTGTTCATGTTCTTCTATAATCTCCACTAGTTCTTCTGCTTTGCTTACTTCATTATCACTATGGTGAACAAGAGTATCTGTCAATATGACATGTGGTGTATCAATAATGTCATGCTCTTCTGTTTCATCATTTGATTCAGTCATTTCTTTTTCCAAGGGTGGTTCAGGGATGCCAATTGACACCTCACTCTCAGCACTGTGTGGTTCAGTAAGCAACTCTGAAGTAGTTGCTTGATGAGTGGTTTCTTTAGAACATCTCTCTTCCTCATCATCTTCAATTTCTTCTGTAGATTCCACATCTTTCCATCTTCTTTCCTCTCCTTCATTGTCTGTTCTGTGTCCTCCTTGAGGCCTGCGGGTTGATCCAGATTTCCTCTTTTTCTTACTTTGGTTTTGTGTATGTAGTTCTGTGTTTTTTATTTCTACATTTTCTTCACTATTCCCACCATCATCCTTGGAATCTGAATGTTCGGTCACTGGTGATGGCTGTATGTTAGTAGTTAAACCCAGTTCAGTTGTTTGAGAGGATAATGCAGAATCTATATACTGTTCTGGACACACTGCTATAAAGTCCTCAGTGGTGGAATCTTCTGTATGACGGGCTTTTAATTCTTCCTTTATCTCTTCTCTGTCCTCCTCCACAGCTTCATTCTTTCTGCTTGATATGTTCGATGTTTCTGTAAGATGCACATCTTTCTCCTCTCCATATGTGTCTTCATCGTCTTTTTCACTGCTTTCTCTCTCTTTTTCATTTATCTCTTCAGTAGACTCCTTCAGGCCACCTCCATGGAGTGGCTCTCTATGACTCCTTCGAGTTGACCCCATCTTTCTCCGTTTCCCAGATGTGCTGAGTTCTAAATTCTCTGTCATCACATTCTCCTGAGTGGTTTTTGGTTCTTGTATGTGAACGTGTGAGCACGTGCTTTCGACTTTCTCTAGTTCTGAGTCTTCATTTGTTGGCTGGTCTTGTTGGTCTTTGGATATGCTTTCATCAGATGGCAACTGTCTACTCCGATCAGAAACAAGTTCATGAGTATTTTCTGTATTCACTGGAATGCCTAAGCTGTCTTGGGCCTCAGAAATAAGCTCCACTGTTCCACATGTAGGAGTGACATGAACTTGGTCGGGGCTTCTGTTTTCAGTACTCTCCATATCATGGCCTTCGACTATTATGGATGCTTCCTGAGAAAAGTCATGGTATGTGGAAGCATCATTCTGAATTTCTGTGACCACTGGTGGCGTTGTCTCTGAAGATGTGGACTCATTGCCCCTCTTATCCTCCACTACTGATTGTTCATGTTCTTCTATAATCTCCATTAGTTCTTCTGCTTTGCTTACTTCATTATCACTTTGGTGAACAAGAGTATCTGTCAATATGACATGTGGTGTATCAATAATTCCCTGCTCTCCTGTTTCATCATTTGATTCAATCATTTCTTTTTCCAAGGGTGGTTCAGGGATGCCAAGTGACACCTCACTCTCAGCACTGTGTGGTTCAGTAAGCAACTCTGAACTAGTTGCTTGATGAGTGGTTTCTTTAGAACATCTCTCTTCCTCATCATCTTTAATTTCTTCTGTAGATTCCACATCTTTCCATTTTCTTTCCTCTCCTTCATTGTCTGGTCTGTGTCCTCCTTGAAGCTTCCTGGTTGATCCAGATTTCCTCTTTTTCTTACTTTGGTTTTGTGTATGTAGTTCTGTGTTTTTTATTTCTACATTTTCTTCACTATTCCCACCATCATCCTTGGAATCTGAATGTTCGGTCACTGGTGATGGCTGTATGTTAGTAGTTAAACCCAGTTCAGTTGTTTGAGAGGATAATCCAGAATCTATATACTGTTCTGAACACACTGCTGTAAAATCCTCAGTGGTGGAATCTTCTGTATGACTGGCTTTTAATTCTTTCTTTATCTCTTCACTCTCCTCCTCCACAGCGTCATTCTTTCTGATTGATATGTTAGATGTTTCTGTAAGATGCACATCTTTCTTCTCTCCATACGTGTCTTCATCATCTTTTTCACCTCTTTCTCTCTCTTTTTCATTTATCTCTTCAATAGACTCTTTCAGGCCACCTCCATGGAGTGGCTCTCTATGACTCCGTCGAGTTGACCCCATCTTTCTCCGTTTCCCAGATGTGCTGAATTCTAAATTCTCTGTCATCACATTCTCCTGAGAGGTTTTAGGTTCTTGTATGTGAACGAGTGAGCATGTGCTTTCGACTTTCTCTATTTTTGAGTCTTCATACGTTGGCTGGTCTTGTTGGTCTTTGGATATGCTTTCATCAGATGGCAACTGTCTACTCTGGTCAGAAACAAATTCATGAGTATTTTCTGTATTCACTGGAATGCCTAAGCTGTCGTGTATCTCAGAATTAAGCTCCACTGTTTCACATGTAGGAGTGACATGAACTTGGTCAGGGCTTCTGTTTTCAGTACTCTCCATATCATGGCCTTCGACTATTATGGATGCTTCCTGAGAAAAGTCATGGTATGTGGAAGCATCATTCTGAATTTCTGTGACCACTGGTGGCGTTGTCTCTGAAGATGTGGACTCATCGCCCCTCTCATACTCTACTACTGATTGTTCATGTTCTTCTATAATCTCCACTAGTTCTTCTGCTTTGCTTACTTCATTATCACTATGGTGAACAAGAGTATCTGTCAATATGACATGTGGTCTATCAGTAATTCCCTGCTCTCCTGTTTCATCATTTGATTCAATCATTTCTTTTTCCAAGGGTAGTTCAGGGATGCCAAGTAACACCTCATTCACAGCACTTTCTGATTCAGTAAGCAACTCTGAAGTAGCTGCTTGATGAGTGGTTTCTTTAGAACATCTCTCTTCCTCATCATCTTCAATTTCTTCTGTAGATTCCACTTCTTTCCATCTTCTTTCCTCTCCTTCATTGTCTGGTCTGTGTCCTTCTTGAGGCCTGCGGGTTGATCCAAATTTCCTTTTTTTCTTACTTTGGTTTTGTGTATGTAGTTCTGTGTTTTTTATTTCTACATTTTCTTCACTATTCCCACCATCATCCTTGGAATCTGAATGTTCAGTCATTGGTAATGGCTGTATGTTAGTAGTTAAACCCAGTTCAGTTGTTTGAGAGGATAATGCAGAATCTATATACTGTTCTGGACACACTGCTATAAAGTCCTCAGTGGTGGAATCTTCTGTAGGACTGGCTTTTAATTCTTCCTTTATCTCTTCTCTCTCCTCCTCCACAGCGTCATTCTTTCTGCTTGATATGTTAGATGTTTCTGTAAGATGCACATCTTTCTCCTCTCCATACGTGTCTTCATCATCTTTTTCACCTCTTTCTCTCTCTTTTTCATTTATCTCTTCAGTAGACTCCTTCAGGCCACCTCCATGGAGTGGCTCTCTATGACTCCTTCGAGTTGACCCCATCTTTCTCCGTTTCGCAGATGTGCTGAATTCTAAATTCTCTGTCATGACATTCTCCTGAGTGGTTTTAGGTTCTTGTATGTGAACGAGTGAGCACGTGCTTTCGTCTCTCTCTATTTTTGAGTCTTCATACGTTGGCTGGTCTTGTTGGTCTTTGGATATGCTTTCATCAGATGGCAACTGTCCGATCTGTTCAGAAACAAGTTCATGAGCATTTTCTGTATTCACTGGAATGCCTACGCTGTCCTGGGCCTCAGAATTAAGCTCCACTGTTCCACATGTAGTAGTAACATGAAAATGGCTTGGGCTTCTGTTTTCAGTACTCTCCATATCACATTCTTCAACTACCTGAGAAATATCATAGTTTGCTGAAGCATCATTCTGAATTTCTGTGACCACTGGTGGCGTTGTCTCTGAAAATGTGGACTCATCATTCCCCTCATACTCCGCTACTGATTGTCTGTGTTCTTCTATAATCTCTACTGGTTCTTCTGCTTTGTGTACTTCATTATCACTATGCTGAACAACAATATCTGTCAATATGACATGTGATATGTCAATCATTCCACACCCTCCTGTTTCATCTTTTGTTTCAGTTATTTCTTTTTCCAAGGGTGGGTCAAGGATGCCAAGTGACTCCTCACTCACAGCATTCTGTGGTTCAGTAAGCAAGTCAGAAGAAGCTGCTTGATTGGTGGTTTCTTCAGAACATCTGTCTTCCTCGTCATGTTCAGTTTGTTCTGTAGCTTCTACATTTTTCCGTTTTCTTTCCTCTCCTTCATTGTCTGGTCTGTGTCCTCCTTGGGGCCTCCGGGTTGATCCAAATTTCCTTTTTTTCTTACTTTGGCTATGTGTCTGTAGTTCTGCATTTTTCACTTTTATATTTTCTTCACTATTCCCACCATCATCCTTGGAATCTGAATGTTCGGTCACTGGTGATGGCTGTATGTTAGTGGTTAACCCCAGTTCAGTTGTTTGAGAGGATAATCCAGAATCCATGTATTGTTTTGAACACACTGCTATAAAATCCTCAGTGGTGGAATCTTCTGTAGGACTGGCATTTAATTCATCCTTTATCTCTTTAATCTCCTCCTCCACAGTGTCCTTCTTTCTGCTTGATATGTTCGATGTTTCTGTAAGATGCACATCTTTCTCCTCTCCATACGTGTCTTCATCGTCTTTTTCACCGCTTTCTCTCTCTTTTTCATTTATCTCTTCAGTAGACTCCTTCAGGCCACCTCCATGGAGTGGCTCTCTATGACTCCTTCGAGTTGACCCCATCTTTCTCCGTTTCCCAGATGTGCTAATTTCTAAATTCTCTGTCATCACATTCTCCTGAGTGGTTTTTGGTTCTTGTATGTGAACGAGTGAGCATGTGCTTTCGACTTTCTCTAGTTCTGAATCTTCATACGTTGGCTGGTCTAGTTGGTCTTTGAATATGCTTTCATCAGATGGCAACTGTCTACTCTGGTCAGAAACAATTTCATGAGTATTTTCTGTATTCACTGGAATGCCTACGCTGTCCTGGGCCTGAGAAATAAGCTCCACTGTTCCACATGTAGGAGTAACATGAACTTGGTCGGGGCTTCTGTTTTCAGTACTCTCCATATCATGGCCTTCGACTATTATGGATGCTTCCTGAGAAAAGTCATGGTATGTGGAAGCATCATTCTGAATTTCTGTGACCACTGGTGGCGTTGTCTCTGAAGATGTGGACTCATCGCCCCTCTCATACTCCACTACTGATTTTTCATGTTCTTCTATAATCTCCACAAGTTCTTCTGCTTTGCTTACTTCATTATCACTATGGTGAACAAGAGTATCTGTCAATATGACATGTGGTCTATCAGTAATTCCCTGCTCTCCTGTTTCATCATTTGATTCAGTCATTTCTTTTTCCAGGGGTGGTTCAGGGATGCCAAGTAACACCTCATTCACAGCACTTTCTGATTCAGTAAGCAACTCTGAAGTAGCTGCTTGATTAGTGGTTTCTTTAGAACATCTCTCTTCCTCATCATCTTCAATTTCTTCTGTAGATTCCACATCTTTCCATCTTCTTTCCTCTCCTTCATTGTCTGGTCTGTGTCCTCGTTGAAGCCTCTGGGTTGATCCAGATTTCCTCTTTTTTTTACTTTGGTTTTGTGTATGTAGTTCTGTGTTTTTTATTTCTACATTTTCTTCACTATTCCCACCATCATCCTTGGAATCTGAATGTTCGGTCACTGGTGATGGCTGTATGTTAGTAGCTAAACCCAGTTCAGCTGTTTTAGAGAATAACCCAGAATCCATGTATTGTTCTGAACACACTGCTATAAAATCATCAGTGGTGGAATCTTCTGTATGACGGGCTTTTAATTCTTCCTTTATCTCTTCTCTCTCCTCCTCCACAACTTCATTCTTTCTGATTGATATGTTAGATGTTTCTGTAAGATGCACATCTTTCTTCTCTCCATGCATGTCGTCATCATCATCTTTTTCACTGCTTTCTCTCTCTTTTTCATTTATTTCTTCAATAGACTCTTTCAGGCCATCTCCATGGAGTGGCTCTCTATGACTCCTTCGAGTTGACCCCATCTTTCTCCGTTTCCCAGATGTACTGAGTTCTAAATTCTCCCTCTTGACATTCTCCTGAGTGGTTTTTGGTTCTTGTATGTGAACGAGTGAGCATGTGCTTTCGACTTTCTCTAGTTCTGCGTCTTCATTTGTTGGCTGGTCTACTTGGTCTTTGGATATGCTTTCATCAGATGGCCCTTGTCCGATCTGGTCAGAAACAAATTCATGAATATTTTCAGTATTTGCTGGAATGCCTACGCTGTCCTGTACATCAGAATTAAGCTCCACTGTGCCACATGTAGGAGTAACATGAACCTGGCCAGGGTGTCTGTTTTCAGTACTCTCCATATCATGGCCTTTGACTATTATGGATTCTTCCTGAGTTGAGTCATGGTATGTGGAAGCATCATTCTGACTTTCTGTGACCGCTGGTGGCGTTGTCTCTGCAGATGTGGGCTCATTATCCCTCTCATACTCCACTATTGATTGTCCATGTTCTTCTATAATCTCCACTAGTTTTTCTGCTTTGTGTACTTCATTATCACTATGGTGAACAAGAGTATCTGTCAAAATGACATGTGGTGTATCAATAATGTCATGCTTTCCTGTTTCATCATTTGATTCAGTTATTTCTTTTTTCAAGGGTGGGTCAAAGATGACAGGTGACTCCTCACTAACACCATTCTGTGGTTCAGCAAGCAAGTCAGAAGAAGCTGCTTGATTGGTGGTTTCTTCAGAACATCTCTCTTCCTCGTCATGTTCAGTTCGTTCTGTAGCTTCTACATTTTTCCATTTTCTTTCCTCTCCTTTATTGTCTGGTCTGTGTCCTCCTTGAGGCCTCCGGGTTGATCCAAATTTCTTTTTTTTCTTACTTTGGCTTTGTGTCTGTAATTCTGCATTTTTCACTTCTATATTTTCTTCACTATTCCCATCATCTTCCCTGGAATCTGAATGTTCGGTCACTGATGATGGCTGTATGTTAGTAGTTAAAGCCAGTTCAGTTGTTTGAGAGGAACATTGTTCTGAACACACTGCTACAAAGTCCTCGGTGCTGGAATCTTTTGCAGGACTGGCATTTATTTCTTCCATTGTTTCCTTACTCTCCTCTTCAAGAACTTCAGTTTTTCTGCTTGATAAGGTAGATATTTCTGTAAGATCCACATCCTTCTCCTCTCCATACTTCTCTTCATCATCTTCATAGCCTATTTTTTCTTCTTTTTCACTGATCTCCTCAGTAGGATTTTTCTGGTCACGTTCATGGAGTCGCCCTCTGTGACTCCTTCGAGTTGACCCTATTTTCCTTGGTTTCCCAGATGTGCTAGGTTCTGAATTCTCTGTTATTACATCATCCTGAGTGGTTTTGGATTCCTGTGTGTGAATGAGTGTGCTTGAGTTTCCAAATTGCTCTGCTTCTGATTCTTTGTTCTGCAGCTCTAGATGGTCTTCAGGTATGCTGTGATCCCAAGCTAGCTGTTTTATTCCATAAGATGCAAGCTCATGAGTATTTTCTGTATTTACTGAAATGTCTAAGCTCTGCTGTATCTTCGAAATAAGCTCCACCGTCCCACATGTAGGAGAAGAAAGAACTTGGCAGGGGTTTCCATTTTCAGTACTCTCTACGTCACCTTCTTCAGCTACCACAGATGCTTCCTGAGAAGACGTTTGGTATGTGGAAGTATCATTCTGAATTTCTGTTATGACTGTTGGCATTTTCTGCTTATCTGTAGATGTGGACTCATCATCGCTCTCATACTCCACAACTGGGTGTCTAATTTCCACTAGTTTTTCTCTTTTGCTTACTTCGTTATCAATATGGTGAACAACAATATCTGTCAATACTGTTTTGTCTTTTGATTCAATCATTTCTTTTTCCAAGGGTGGGTCAAGTACACCAAGTGACACCTCACTCACAGCAATCTGTGGTTCAGTTAGCGAGTTTAAAGTAGCAGCTTGATTGGTGGTTTCTTTTGAAAATCTCTCTTCCTCATTATGTTCAAATTCTTCTGTAGCTTCCACATCTTTCCGTTTTCTTTGCTCTCCATCATTGTCTGGTCTGTGTCCTCCTTGAGGCCTTCGAGTTGACCTAGATTTCCTCTTTTTCTTACTTTGGTGTTGTGTATGTAGTTCTGCATTTCTCATTTCTACATCATCTTTACTATTCCCACCATCGTCCTTGAAATCTGAATATTCAACTACTGGTGATGGCTGTATGTTAGTAGTTAAACCCAGTTCATTTATTTGAGAGGATAATCCAGAATCCTTATATTGTTTTGAACACACTGCTATAAAATCCTCAGTGGTGGAATCTTTTGCAGGACCAGCATTAATTACTTCTTCTGTCTTTTCACTTTCACTTTCATTCTTTAGGCTCGGTATGTTAGATCTGTCTGTAAGATGCACATCTTTCTCCTCACCATACGTGTCTTCATCATCTTTTTTACCATGTTTCCCTTCTTTTTCATTTATCTCTTCAACAGAATCATCCAACTCATGTCCATGAAACTGCTTTCTATGACTCTTTTGAGTTGGCTCCATCTTTCCTCTTTTCCCAGATGTGTTAAGTTCTGAATTTTCTGTTATTACATCATCCTGAACTTTTTTTGATTCTTGTATGTGAATGAGTGAGCATGTGCTTTCATTTTGCTCTAGTTCTGAATCTCTGTTTGTGTGCAGGTCTAAATGTTCTTCAGATATATTATGATCCCAAGGCAGCTGTCTCATCTGGTCAGATGCAATCTCATCAGTATTTACTATATTCCTTGGAATATCTAAGATGTCCTGTATTTCAGAAATAAGCTCCATGGTACCACTTATAGGAGAAGCATGAACATGGCTGGGGCTTCTGTTTTCAGAACTTTCTACATCACATTCTTTGACTACCATGGATGCTTCCTGAGAAAAGTCATGGTATGTGGAAGTATCATTCTCAGTTTTCATGATGACTGGAGACATTTCCTGCTTATCTGAAGATGTGAGCTTGTTGGCCTTCTCATCATCCTCTACTGACTGTGGATGTTCTCCTGTAATTTCCACCAGTTCCTCTACTTTGCTTAATTCATTATCAATATAGTGAACAACAATGTCTGTCAATCCCGTTTCATCTTTTGATTCGGTTATTTCTTTTTCCATGGTCAGGTCAAGAATGCCAAGTGACACCTCACTCACAGCAATCTGTGGTTTAGTAAGTGAGTTTACAGCAGCTGCTTGATGCGTGGTTTCTTTAGAACATCTCTCTTCCTTGTCATGTTCAAATCCTTCTGTAGCTTCCACATCTTTCCATTTTCTTTCCTTTCCTTCAGTGTCTGGTCTCTGTCCTCCTTGCGGCCTTCGGGTTGACCCAAATTTTCTCTTTTTCTTACTTTGGTTTTGTGCCTGTGGTTCTGTGCTTCTCATTTCTGCATTTTCTTTACTATTCCCATCATCGTCTTTGGAATCTGAAAGTTCAGCTCCTTGTGGTGTTTGTCTGTTAGTAGTTAAAACCCATTTGGTTATTTGAGAGGATAATACAGGATTCATATATTGTTCTGAACACACTGCTGTAAAATCCTCAGTAGCAGATTCTTCTGTAGGAGCAGAGTTCATTTCTTCTGTTGTTTCTTTATTCTCCTCCTCAATAACTTCATTCTTTCTGCTTGATATGTTAGAGCTGTCTGTAAGAGGCACATCTTTCTTCTCTCCATGCCTGTCCACATAATCTTTTTCACCTCTTTTTCCTTCTTTTTCACTTGTCTCTTCAATATTTTCTTTCTGGTCACCTTCATGGTGTTGCTCTGTCCTTTGAATTAAACCCATCTTTGTCCCTGATATGCTAAGTTCTGCATGATCGGTTATCACATCATCCTCTGTGGTTTTTGATTCTTGTATTAGAATGAATGAGCATGTGCTTTCAAGTTCTGATTCTCTGTTTGTTGGCTGATTTAGATGGTCTGCAAAAATGTCAAGATTCCAAGACAACTGTCTCATTCTATCAGATGCAAAATCAAGAGTATTTTCTGTATTCTCTAGCATGTCTAAACTGCCCTGTGTTTGAGAAGTAAACTCCATTGTGACACTTGTAGGAGAAGTATTTACTTGGCTGGGGCTTCCATTGTCAGTTCTCTCCATATCAGGATCTTGGACTACCATGAATGCTTCTTGAGAACGGTTATAATATGTGGAAGTATCATTCGGAATTTCTGTAATGATTGATGACATTTTTTGCTCATCTGAGTATGTGGAGTCATCAGTTCTCTCATCCTCCACTGTTGATTTTTCATGTTCTATAATTTCTCCTGGATCTTCTGCTTTGCTGTTTTCTTCAAGGATCACAGTGTCAATCTGACAAACAATTGCATTTGACATTACAACAGGTGCTGTATCAATCATTTCAACGGTTTCTGTTTCCGAGTGTAGATCAATAATACCAAGTGACACCTCACTCACAGAACTCTGTGATCCAGCTTGCTGACTGGTTTCTTCAGAATATGTATTTTGATCATCATGTTTAATTTCTTCTGTAGCTTCCACATCTTTCCATATTCTTTCCTCTATATCAGTGTCTGGTCTGTGTCCTCCTCGAGGCCTCCTGGTTGATCCAAATTTCTTTTTTTTCTCCGTCTGGCTTTGCCCATGTGGTTCTGTTTCCATATTTTCCTGTGATTGATTTTTTTGCACCATAGCATCCACCACTTCTCCTGAGTTGTTTTGGACTTTGAGGACTGCAGAGTCAATCTGTTCAGACACATCTAAAATTATTGTAGGTGCTACATCCATCCCTCCAGATTGCTTTTTGTTCATTTCTAGAGCCTCATTCTCTTTATCAAGGACTCCACATTCTGGTTTTGCCCCATTGCCTTCTTTTATCTCTTTGTTTTCTTCATAAACAAATGATGTGGTTAAGGTTTCATCGTTTTGTAAAATGTTTGTGGTCTCAGTTTCTACATCTTCTTCAGTTACACCCTCCATCCCATTTTCTTTCTTTTCATCGAAAGTATTGTGAGATGAGTCCAACTCTGTTATATGGGAGCATTTGTTGGAGACTGGATGTACGGGATTCTCTCCTGCCTGAGAGAAAGAACTGTCACCAGTGACAACACATTCAGCTTCTGTATGCAGGTCATCTGTCAGATCAAGAGCACAATTTGTCACAGTGGCAGCTATTACCTCAACACAGTCCACTGCTTTAGACTGTTCCTCTGACAGATGTGATGTAATATCATCTTCATGTGCACCACTGTACGTGTGAGAGACATTTGCTTGACCAGTTTGTTCCACATTATTCTTAATGACATCATCTTCTTTGGCCACAGCAGTAAGACCCTGCAATGTTTTTTCCTCTTTTTCAAGATCTCTGTATCCTGTATCTATGTCGAAGTGTTCTTCAACGCATGCACCCTTTCTTTGCAGCTGCTGTGGAAAAGATAGCTCATCGTCTTCAGCCCGCTTCATTAAGTGATCTGTGGTCAGCACCTTTTCAGTACTCACTTTATCTTCAGCATCTAAACTGTCATACACCAAGAGCATTCTGTCCTCTGCACTTACGTCTTTTCTCTTTGTTAGCTCAACTGTTTCATTGCTGACTACTGCATAACTGTTATTATCCCCATCTTTGCCTATAGATAAAGCACTGGTATCACAAATGTTCTCGGATGGCTTTATTTCCTCAAAAAACTGATTGCTGTTTTCAGTGATGTCATTTCCTCTCTCCTTATCTGTCATGCTATCATTTGACTGAAAGGGCTGCTCCTCATAGAGCTTGGTGTCATGACAGATTTCGATCTGAGGCAACTGATTAGAATCTGCCTGTATATCAATACAAGCTCCCTCCTTTGACCGCATGTCAGATAAAAATTCTCCAGCATCATCATGTTGTAAACTGTATGCCTGGTTGCTTATGTCCATTGCATCAGACTCTGCTTCATGTAGCGTTTCAAAAGGAATTACCTTCCTTTCTCTGACTAAATCTAACAGCTTACCTTCATCATTCTCTGCTTCCTCTTCTTCTGTCCTCATCTCCCTGTCTTTTTTTTCTTCTTCTTCATTATTTTGTTCTTTTACACCCTGCTCAGTTTGGCCTGTATTTTCCCCCATACTGCTTTCTCCTGTCAAAAGTCTGGCATCAGAAAGATCATACTGTTCATCTCTGTGATGTTTAATTTCATTGTCAGATGAGTCACAACGGAGTTCTGTATCATATGAAAGATACTGGTCTGATGAAGCTCCTTTTTTCTTCTTTGGGGACAAGGTCATGATTTCATCAGGTTCCACTGTTTGCATTGTGAATCTGGCTTCAACCACATCTTCACATTCTTTTCTGTCTCCAACCATGTGTACCTCCCTATGTTCTTCCTCGCCCTCTCTGTATTCTGACATTTTAATCTCTTGAACACATGCCAAATCCTCGGTTAGCTTTAAGGTCTCATTTTTAAGCTCCAGGCAGTGGTCAGAAATGCCCTCATTTACTGTACCTGTTTGAGCCCCTTCAGTTCCATCTGTACTGGAATTCAGTCCTTCTTCTGGAGAATATGAACATTCTTGCTCAGGTTCATTTATAAGAGATGCTTCTCCCTCCCTACACTCATGAGATGAGACTGTGCTCTCTCTTTCTTGTTTGTCTTCACTCATAAAGTTTAAAGTGAACTGATCATGTATTGTGTTCACAGATGTATCAGAGGACACAAGACTGTGAATCTGAGTATCCTGTAACACTTGAACATCCTCAAAATCACATGCAGGAATGGTAATTCTTCCTTCTTCAAGAGGTCTGTCAGCTGAGCCTGTCTTCTTTTGGCCTGTTGTGTTGGGTAAAGTCTCCATTTGATTGTACATTTGCAAAGAATCATCAAATTCATGAAGTGGAAGTTTACTTTGAGTGGTTGTGGTACACTGAAATCAAAGGAATGACTTATTGATTCTTCACTGAAAGCTGCCCCCTTACGTTGGTCAGGCTCAAAAGAAGAAAGACTCATGAGTTTGCTTTGAAATGCTATTTCTAAATTAACTCGCCCATCATTTCCCAGAACCTCTTCTTTATGCATTGTGCTACCAAGGGCCCAATGCTCTCTTTGTAAGATAGAAATCTCAGGTTCAATGGATTGACTGGATGAATAACCTGATGAACTTTGTTGGTGATCATCCCCTCTGACTGACACTTCTTCAGGAACTCCATGCTCTTCACTAATCCCTTCACTTACCTCCACTCTGTCCTCTGGTTCTTCCTCAGGTATTCCTCCACCTTTAAACCCTCTGTTGCTCTTGCGAGTTGATCCCATTTTTCTCCTCTTACTCACTGCTTCAGCTTGTGCAAGTAAATCCTGTGACTGCGAATGAGGATGGAGTTCTGAGGCAGAAGTCTGCTGGCTGATGCAAGTTGTTGTTGCCTGGCCTAACTGAGGTAGTACAGAAGCATCAGATGGTTGTTTTTCAGAAACAACATGAAAATCTTTTTGCTCACTTTCATGTTCTTCATTGCCTGTTTGTGGGAAGCTATCATCACATTCTTTCTCTTCAGGATTTCTGTTGCGATTTCGTCGGGAAGAACCAAGCTTTTGGCTCTTTCTCTGCTTTTTGCTAGACATGGCTTTTCACACTTTGCCCTGTAGTGTGTAAAAGGAAAACAAGAATACAATTACTCACTTGTGCCTTTGAACAAGAACATGATTCAAATAGAAACCAAGGAGCCTTAAAGGTTAAGTCATGGGTGTATGACTCATTACATGCAGAGGTTTTAAAACATTTAATAAAAAAAGGATTTGAAACATTCCCTTGTTGTTTTATTTCTACTATATATATATATATATATATATATATATATATAGATATATATATATATATATATAATGTATGCGTGTATTTAGCTATAACACTGATATTATCTATTTAGCCATAAATACCACATTTTGGTGTCAGCAGTTAACTGTACTGTTATCAAACTAACACACAGATATGCTGTAGCATTATGGTCTGATGCTGTTATATGTAAACAACTCAAAGGCAAACCACAAAATGCTCATCATATTTAAAAATTTTATAAAATAACTCCTGAGGGCCTTGTCTCTGACATTCACCATATCACAACTGTTCAAATTAAATAAATAAAACTAAAGAGGTCAAGTACTTCACATCGCCCGCTTGACTGATCTAACCACAACATTGCAAATGGGTCTAGAGCTACACTAGATTTCTAAGCACAAGTCCAAGTATCTCAATATGTCGTCACATTCTTCAGGACATTAACAGTTATCATGTGAGACTGCAATTCAAGTGCTTTTGATTCAACAGTTGATCAATACTTACATGTAGGAAAACAGTCAATGAAGTGTTTACCACCACAGAAAGTGACCTACGTATTCAAATACAGCACAAATGCTGATGGACCACAAAAGGAAACAGCAGCATGCACCCCATAAACCTTTAAGAACACAATATAGGAACCTACCCCAGGCGTCGTCTACAGGTGTTTTCTCAGGAAAACGTTAACTTCTCAACATCCTATGGAAAAGCATAGATAGTACTTGCTGACTGCTTTTACCGTTACGTCTTTGATGTATGTCTATCAATTCTGTAGCTTCCTTCTTTGCTGCTACCCTGGTTCTCAACTTCCTGTGTTGTTAACACCACGCTGCGCTGAGTGTAAACTGTGAACTTCACACTTTATTTTATTTTTTTCTTTCCTTTAAAAGATGCATGAGGAGCACTGACCAGCCTTGCTGTGGTAACAGTATAAACTGTTAAAGTAGGATTTGAGAAAAGACATCATGCAAATCAAACATTCAATACAAAACAATGTATTTAACATTCTCACTTGCACACCCATTAAATTGAAGAACATAAATCGCTTATCTCAGTTTCTCTGTTCATTATTTAGCTACCTCCATGTTAAGCTCAAGCCTTACACTTCCCATTTTTGGAGAGTGTATGTCACACTGTGAAGACACTTGTGCTTCAGATTTTAGAATGCGTAAGCGTACATTACATACTCATTTTGCAACAAGTGGGCACTGTGTTGCAATCTCTTAGTCATGACTATGATAAAAGGCATTTTATGGATTTGATGTTATTTATTCATTATATGAAACAGTAACTGAAAAACATTTTAAGCAACAATACTGTTAAAAACATTAATAAACAATTAGCATTGAATAACAAAACAAGAAAATATCAGTGGAAAAAAGGTTTTATTCAAAGTACAAACAAAAAGTGAAGGGAAAACTGATGCAAGTCCAGTTTTACAACTAATTCAGAAATAAGGATTATAATATTCAGAACTTTATTGTGGGTAAAACATTACAGGTCAAAGAGGGAAATGTTGAAATCCTTATCAGACAACAAGAAAAGGGGAAAGGGATAAAAAAAAATCATCACCAGAATGAGGTGAGAAAACATTCTATAGGGCTGAACCTTTTTGTAATAAGAAAAAGGATCCATCATCCATAATCCATAACCTGTTGGAAGGACACACAGACGAACTCTCTCCAAAAGCCCGACTCTGGAGGCATCTTACCACCGGTCGTTAGAACGGGAGCGACTGTGGAAAGTAAAAATTGGTTAGAAGAGAAAGAGAAAAACACTTGATAAAAAGAGAAAATACTTTATTACATACTCAACATAAAAAGAAAAAGGATCAATATAGTACCAAAAATTAGTTCTCTTTTTCTCCCCCAATTTTCTCATATCCAGTTCCCACTACTAGTTAGGACTCTTCCAATCACACAATAACACCAGCATAAGGAGGGCAAAGACCAAACACACACTTCCTCCGAGCCAAGTAAAGGCAGTCACCACATCTTTTCGAACTGCTCCTAACACGTCATCACTGGACAGCTAAATGTGCTCGGAGGAAAGCGCCAACCGCCAGTTCCGTTACGTCAGCTAACACATGCCTGTGATGGCTAGCATGGCGCTGAATGGAGGGGGAGTAGGAAGGTAGTTCTAATCACATCTAGCAGAACCCTTTTGGTGCTATATAGAATCATTTTTAGGCTCTTTAAATGACCATACAGAATAAGATTTCCATCTTGTGCACACGCGTATGCATGCATGTGTGCGCACACACAGAAACACACACACACACATACATAATATATATATATATATATATAAAAACCCTTTAAGAAACCTTTTTTATAAGAGATGTACATAATGTGCAGCTGTCAATGCTGTCCTACATATACATAGGAGAAATCCTAATTGAGTACAAATTTACCTGCGTGATCTTGAGAGAGACCGTGAAGGTTTATGATTTCTATCTCGAGACAGGGACCTGTCCTTTCTCTTTTCTCTGGAAAGAGACCTGTCCCTTCTCCTTTCTCTGGAAAGAGACCTGTCCCTTTTCTTTTCTCTGGAAAGAGACCTATAAACAGCAAGTATTAATCACAGTTTTAGTATTGCTAATTAATTGAGTTGAACAACTCCCATTAAAAGTGGATGAATAAATATTTTGAGGGAGGGGGGGATACATACAGGGGGAAAAAAAAAAAAAAAACACTCACCTGCTGCGACTGCGGCTAAAGCTCCTCCTCCTGGGGGACCTAATGGAGGGTGTGAAACAGTGACAAGTGAGAAGATGCCTCAAAAGACTGCTTGGGCATTCTCCATGGGATGACTATGTCTACAGAATGAATACTGAAGCACTGTTGGCTGCATTTGTATCTGACTGGGGTACAGAGTGCAGACACTGGATGACCGAAGGGTGTAGGAGCTAGCTGAGCTTCTGGAAGCATGACTTACATTAAGACATGCTTCTCTTTTCAGTCTCGATTCCTACACCTTTGGGACGACCAGTTACTGTTTTTTCTTAGCCCACAGTGTGTACTAAAATATCCCTCGTTAATTTATCATCTGAAAAGACAGGATGTGATGTCTGAATTCCAACTGCAAAAAAAAAAGTCATTACACTGGAGCAAAAAGGCTTTAACTTACTATTGTTTGGTTTTCAACAAACTAGTTATGATGCAAAGAGGCTGAGTGTTGCTCAGGAGGCCAGAATTTGCGGGTAGATGGTTTCTAGACGTTAACATTGCTGACTGCTATAGATGGCTGAAGATGTCATTTAGCTGAGGATGGCTGAGGGTAGGTGGTTTTGCAGACATTAGGGAAGGATAAGAGCCGTTGATTGGTTGTACGAGTGGCGTGGGTAGTTTTGCTGATCACGTTAACGCTGAAGGAACTGGAGGAGCCTTAGAGACGCATGCTCAGGAGGCAATGGGCCCGTGGCCATGCTTGGGTCATGTGAGCTGATTGGTGCACGCTGGTCACATGGTGCTGAAACTGGACTAGTTGACTGACTCAGTGGTTGATGAGGAGAGGCATGATGTCTCTGAAAGGGGGGTCAGCTTCATTAATAAGTTGACAGAGATGGTACAAAGCCCAAACATTGAGAAAAGAAACGCTACCGCTCAATTGCCATGGAAGGAAATGTTCAATAACAAATCTAAAACATAAGCGTAAAATTGCACACATTCTTTTTGAACTGAGAACATGTGTGATTGTAAGGGGAGTAATGCTATGGTTAGACCAATCTACTATGTCCAATCAATTACAGTAACACACAGAGTCAGTCTAAGAAGACTAGTCAAAAAGGACAACTATAGTAGCAACGTTCTAGACATGGTGGATCAGAGGTTTAAAAGCCAGTTATATGCTTCCAAATCTCTAATCATTCATCTATTGATCCATCCACAAATGGTATTACAGTAAGTGAAAGGTCTGACTCCAATCAGTTCACCTCTTAACATCACTATTACGCAGAACATCACTCAGATTGTTTTTCTTTTTTGTGCCCCAAATTAGTGGCCCTACCGGCGTCTAGGGGGTGGGCTCCGGCGTCTATAGTCATCTCTTGGGCGACGACCCCAGGAAGGTGGAGGCCCACGATTCCTTGACCGTTTCTCCCCACTCGACATCTCAACTCGCACACGACACCCACACAGGGTCCTAAGGAGGGAAGAAAAGGCAGATGAAGCCTTGTTTAAAACAAAAAAATTTTCAATTTATATTTAATTACAGCACCTACATATATTTAATTATCTTGTTATGGGTAGGCAATGAGAACTTTTATAGTTATTGAGATGAATTACATTACACTACAATATGCTTTTCTGAGAATATTGTGAATATCACCAGTAATTAACAAATTAACAGTGGCCAAGTGCATGCTTCATGACAAAGAGTCCTGATAACTTAGATTTAGAGCAGTACAGTGTGTGCAACAGTGAACATAAATGACTACAGTTTTTGACTGTTTTTCAATGTTGCACTAATAGTTCTTGATCCAATTTATCAAACCTCAGGAAAACAAAATCTTGATATATATTTAGTTTTGTGAAAATGTCTTAAAAATATTGGGATGTTATACTTTTGCTATATTGCTCCACCCCTGACTGCCAGCCCGAATCTTGTACCAAGGTTAATTTTTCACCCCCCTGTAAAGTCAGCTCATCTTACCTTCCATCTAGCTCCCTTACAGCATCTGTAGCATCTCTGGGGTCCTCAAACTCCACAAATGCAAAACCTGGAGGGTTCCTGGCTACCCACACACTCCGTAAAGGGCCATAATAGCCAAAAGCCCTCTCCAGTTCAGTCTTGTTCCCACTGTTACCTAAATTACCCACATAAACCTTACAATCTAGCGGACAATCTCGATGTAGGGAAGGATCTGCAGAAGAAAAAAAAATTGTTTGCTTATAACATGGTAATGTTATTATTCTCTGTTTCAACAATGGTGGAATCAACAGTGCCACAATGACACTTTACCAGAGTACAATAAAAATTAGAAACGGCATGGTTCCACCGCTAAAGGCAGAGCAGTCGGGTTTTTCAAGACTGACTAGAACTGGAACATTTTTCTCAAATGCAGAACGTGTGAGCAATACGTTGAAATTAGAAAAGCATAATGAATACAAAAAAAGCACCAACCTCCCATTTTCACTTGATGTGCTCTCTGCAAATTTTATCTTCTCAAACCTGTCAGAAATTAAAAAAAAAGAAGAAGAAGACACGGTTTAACACAGCCTAGGGTGAGAAAACAACAAAGGCTAGCTGCATTCGATGTTAGCTAGAAAGCTAATGTAATACAATTCACTCATCCCAGACGGAGCTTAAACAAGTAAGATCAGAGTAAAAAACAATAACAAACCAAAATTATTCTAATTTATTTGTCCAGCCTGAACAAAAACTGTATTTTACGTTGGTTCGTGTTGCTTATTTTCGGTTAGTTCGTATACAATTCAATAAGCTATCGAGGTCAGCTAACAACATATCCCTTAGCGCGAACTGCTGGACAACTGGCTAAACAACAACGCTACCGCACTGAGTCGGAGGAAAATCTAATTTAATTAGCTAGCCAACTAGTTAAGTCCCTCGGCTAATCACCTACAATTTATACGAAGATTAGATATTATAAATAAAAGACAAATAGACAGAACCTCATCAACGGTTACACCGAGAAATGTCGTAAAAACTGTAACCTGGTCCACGCTAGCCAGCTGGCTAAACTTAGCCGACCATCGACAAATATAGCTAAAATACGAGGTTCTTTAATAAGTAATTTGATGTAATATTATACCAAGTGTTTTATCCGCTGTACACTGTGACTTTACTTAACAAATAACGTTACCTGTTTCGCCTTCCTTCCCGGCTTAGGCTTCTTTCTTTTGTCCAGCCAAACCCAAAAGAGATGCACACCGCCTAGCACAAACCGGCTAGTAAGGCGACTAGCTAGCTAACTTCATTAGCATAGAGTCGGGTCAGCTGATTAAGAACGGAAATGTCAAAAGAAAAGTCTTCATAACTGAGACACACGTCTAATTTTGTGACTGTGTTTTCAGTATTTTCTTAGCTCATCTCATAAACTTATTTTAAAAAACGGATTCACATCTTTATTCTTCTGTTTTATGTTGGTTAATTTCGCTGGAACATAAAACAGCTACAAATTAACTGATATGGGGAGACTGTTTAGTCTGTTTAACACCATATAGCTAGATCGCCTGGAAACCATTCTTTCAGCAGCTTGTTTAACTTTAGGGCCCACCGGAGGGCGGAGGGCAGCAAAAGTTCAGGATTAAGCAAACAAGCGTAGAGTGCGTTATGCAATACAGATGCCTCGTAACCCACTCACACAAAGAGCATTACGGTGGCTTTATTTTTGTCCCACTGGACATGTTGGTAAGAGGGAAGAGGATGTGTGTTTGTGTGTGAAAGAGAGAGACAAAGAGAGTGAGAGAGAGAGAATTCGCCTCTTGTCTTCCCCCCAGTCTGTCCCTCAAACATGATCAAAATATCATTCGTTCCTGAGCCTTTTTCTAAATTGATATTTTAGCATGTCATGATAAGCCAGCCCGGCAACTAAAATGAAACATCTTTTTTTCCGCTTTGTAATGTGTGGATATGTGTAACCACATGCGGCGCAGTGTGTTTTTCAAACAGATTAGTACTGCACATTCTGTTCTGTTTCACTTCCTGATGACTGGGTAGCCTTGTGTGAACTCATCGTCCTGCCCATTAAACACAAATACACCTACAACACACACACTGTAATAGATGCTTATGGTTAGTCTGACAGCCTCTGACTGCCTGCAAACGAATAATAAGGATGAAAGAGGTTTCATTCAAAGCCCTTATCACTTTTTTTCATGTTTAACTCGCTTTAGCTTATTCACCTTCCGTCCAAGTCAAGCAACAAAACAAGAGTTCAATCCGACCATGCATTGAACTATAACGTGTTTTTGATACTGCGAATCACAAGATTTCTGATTTCCATATCGAATTAAATGTGTGTTTTAATTCGACACGAAACGGCTGGAATGATGAGACCCAGCTCAGCTAGTAAATGTGTGTGGCTCTGTGGGTTAGCAGCAGGCTACTACTAAACAGACCTATTCTGGGACACTGAGTACTGACTGGATGCTGTACACTGAGCGGCTATTGGCTAACAGAGAAGCTGCATGTGTACACTAAGGCTAAACTACAGCAGTGAGAGACAGGACAGGCTAGCCTTCGCAATAAAAATGTCTTTTCTTCTAAAGATCTCAGTTCTTACTCGTTCTGGCTGATGGTTCCTTCGTGGACCAGCCGAGTCACTTCCACGTAGGCTATCTCTATGTGATGATTAACAAGGACATTGTGTTCCCCTCCGTCATGGTGCTTCGTCAGTTTTAGCCTGTAGTGAATGCAGCGGGACTGGAATACTTTTTTCACTCTCAGGGGGGATCGGGGGTTACAGACGTGTTCATTTTAAAGCGTTACATACAGTGAAAAACCTTTTTTTAACCGTTATTGAAACTCCTCTAACGAGGGCTAATGCGAGTTACTAAATTAATATGCCTCCGTCACCTCAGACATGTTGAACTGTAACGTTAGGCTGTTCACTCTGATACGAACTGTCCCCCCAGCACACCATCACTGCTCTGGTGCTGATGACATCTATACCTTGGAAGACATTTTAAATGTGAAATCTAGAGCCTATGTGTGAAGTCATCGGCCTATTCAGACTTATTTACTGTCACTGATAACAGCACTAGATTATACATACAAGCACACCTATTTAGATGATGCTGGAAATTAAAAGAGTCTTTCCAACACATACATTATTAAAATAATAAATTATGTGTAAACCATTTAGGCTTTTTTGTTTCTCTTTTTTTGTGAGTTGCCTTTTTTTCTTGTGTTTTACTCTGTGTGTATAATGTGGCCCCAGAAAGCGTTTGGACACTTTGACCACTGGTAAACTTCTGGTTACTTCATAAAATGGCTGACCTGGAGAAAAATTCAATCCAGGCTGCACTAAAAGTTCTGTAAAGCACACAAGTGAAAACACCAAGTCTGGAGCTGTTTTTCGTACAGGGCTGTGGGTGGGCTTTTGTTCACTGATGAAATCATAAACTCAGAAGTGTTCAAAGGGCATTTTGGATGCAAACCTGCAGAAGTCTGCAAAGAAATAATGATCTGAAACACACCAGCTGCCTTTTGAAAGAATGGAATTTTTTTTTTTTTTAGGATGGTCTGTTAATAAATACAAATAAAAGCAGCATTTTGTTTTCTGAAAAATGAACATACATTTTTATGTATGGCACAAATATCCAAATGCTTTTTGGGGCCACTGTATATTATATATTGTCACTGTTGGAAAAACCTTGTACTTGCAAAATGGTAACTTTACAGGAGAAGCAAAAACATTCAATATGGATTTTTTTCAAAGGACCATTTGCATTGGTAAAATTCATGAAATTTTACCACAAGGCAAAGGCTAGACTTTTTTAAATTTTGAAAAAAAAAAATGACAAAAATGGAAATACAAGATTTTTGCTAAACATTAATGATATATGTGTTTGTTCCATTCCATTACGTAATGGCTCTGACACTAAAGTGTTTTAGCCCAAAGATGCAGAGACAGAATACATAGAAAAACATGGATGTTACTACTCCATTTCTGTAATGTAACTTATCATGGTGGAAACTGAAACTGCGCCCTTACAGAGTTGAGGCAATTAACCACCACAAGTACAACTTGTACCACAGGTTCCCAAATTCTAAATATTTTTATTATAGCTATTTTGGCAATGCTGATTCATACAGTAAAGGATCTAAAAAAATCACCAGCTTGTTTGTATTTAAATGGTTGCAACTCAACCCATAAAATCTTCTTTTAGAATGCTGATAGATTTCTGCTTTGTTCCTCTGACCCTCCAGTGAAGTACCACAGATGTTTTAAGTTTAAGTTGTACAACCATATGCTGTAATATACATGCCTGTTTTTGTAAGTGGTGTATTAGTTACTGAGTTTACTCAAGTGGTTTGTAGATTTACTTTAACTCATGTTTGTCACCTGAAGTGATAGATATAGAACTACAAAGTGGCACATTGTCACAAGTATAACAAGTATCTTCAAAATGTCAACTGTACAGAAGGAAAAACCTTCTGAACTTTTAGTGTAAGTTAATGTAAAGAGATTTTACTTTACGCAATGTTAGAGCATTTCTATTGGCCTGTTCATCATGAAATTTTCACACAATGTAAAGCACAGCTGATTCTGTTAAATTATGTCAAAAAATAAAAATGACAAAAATGGAGATACTTGTTTTTTGTTTTTTTTTGGACAGTGACAATATGTCAAAGACAGCATTACATTTTTCAGAATTTCATACCAACTCCAAGGACAGCTCCGCTGAGTTAAAGTTGGTTTTGAGTACATTTGAATAAACTGTACAACCACTAAACTTTACTCTGAGACAGTGTTTTGAAGATGTTTTGCCAGGTGCAGAGTTAAATATATTTCTTAGAAAACATGTTTGGAATGCACTCAGGCACGGCCTCGTAGTAATTAGTGTCGAAATAGCCGTCTGGAATAATTTCAGTCACTGAGGCCCATGTCATCACCAAATCAGTACTATAGCTGCTTTTGGTGGATACCGTCAAAGGCAAATGCCAACCTTTTTAAATTTTAAATTATGACTGTCCTTTGGATTATCACAGATTTAGAGGAAATTAAGTAGCAAAAATCCTATAAATTGATTTATATCAATTATAATGACACAATTTATGTATGACTTATATATGATTTCAGTAACAGAATAATGTTTTCCACATCCAGGGGCTGTTTTTGTTGTGGAAGCATGTCATACCATGAATAGAAACAAAACCATGTTACTCATACAGAGACATTTGCAGTATACAAGGATGATGTCATGTAAGTAAGAGAGTGACCTTTACTCTAAGGTTTAAACCAAAGAATACCACCTGAGTAGGCAGTGTTTGAGACTGGGTGTGGTGTACGTTTTGCTTTGAAGAGTGGTGAAGACACCTCTCTGTTTCAGTACAGGGTTGCCTCCTTTTGTGAAACTAGTTGTTAGTCTTGCTCAATAACAACCACGTTCACTATTTACACAGAACTGTCTTTCAGGGGAAATGCTGGCACATTTTTCAATCAAAATTCAAACTATGGTTTCTGACATTACATGAATAACTGTGGTTCTAAAATCCACAGGACAGGAGAATATATAGTATAGAATATTTTTGGTTAAATACTAATAAGATGTGCCCGGAAAACACTGCACTGTGGCTTCCCTTGCACGTTACTGGCAATGTAAAGTGAGGTCTGAACCTGTGTCCTTGAATGACCCCTGTGCGCTCTTTGTTTCGTTCTTGTGCCTTCCTTAATGAGCATTGTGCACACTCAGCTCTGCTGAACTCCAACTGCTGCATAGACATCAATCCAGGCAGCATTTGATTCTGTTATCCTCCAAGATGATACGCTGAAGGTCTGCCTGTCCACAGAAGCAAAGTGCAGAATCTCTGGCAACCTGATATTCTGAAACACAAACTGCTGTCTTAACTGACAGCACCAACAAACATCAAACTAGGTGCATGTAGCTCAAGCTTGACACACAGTTTTAATTTTCACTGTATTAAGAACAAGGCCAATTAAGAAGGCCTTAACAAGTGAAAAAATAAGGACTCACTTTTCTACATGAATTAAACAATCATTGCTAAAATTTTCCTACTGTAGTGAAATAGCCTTGAGTCTTGAGCTCTTGAGGGGCAGTATGACTAAGAGGATCTTAAAGCAGACAGGCTTTGGATTTCAGGGTTATCAGCCGGGGGGGAACATCATGTCTCCTGCAGCACAAAGAGGGAACGAACATGTTGCAAACAGAGGAGTAACAGTGTGTTATTTTGGTTCTTATCCCTAGGGCTGCGTGGAAGGAGTTATGCTTTGAGGACACAAAAAAGATGTCCAGTTGTTAGACCTAGATGACTAAATGTGCTCATTCCACAGAATTAGTAGAGATTTACAGATATTGTTGTGTAGTCTAGTTGGCCTGTTCCAAACCTATTTTAATCCAGGGCAACTTTTTCACAATAGGCCTATTCACAGAAATCTGATTATTTTCTTATAAGTCATTTCCATTTCTTTCGGCAGTATATTATGTCGCTTTCCGTTCTTTGGAGGCAAACATGAACTACATGCTGAGGAACAGAGGCGTGACTCTTTTCATGGTCTATTATAAGCCGTGTGTGTGTTCATGTGTCGTTCAGCCACTCAGGATTAATCTAGAAAAATGAGAAAGATAAGGTGCAAAATTCTAATGAATAAACAACACTATATATATATATATATATATATATATATATATATATATATATATATAGCTCTTACGTACAAAAAAATGAGCAATTTCAGTCTTAATTACCGAGTGCAGCAATTAATTAATACTTTATCTGGATTTCTGGATTAAGCCGTGTCCGTGGCCCACAGCAGGCCGCGTGAACACGCTGTTCCCTGCGGGACTCGGCGCGTAACGGGTTACGGGTCAGGGTGTCTGAGCTAGGACACTGTGTTCTCATCACGGCGAGCTACAGTACAGCCGGAACACTGTGTTACTTTTGTGGTGGTGGAGAGTTTACAGGACCTGCCCTCGGCTTTCTGGCCACGCCCACCGGTTTAGTCGCTCTTCCCTTTCCTCTCCCCACTCCACTCCATGTGGCTCTCCTGAGCGCTGTTGTGTTTTTTCCTCCTCACACATATTCCGATAAGCCCCGCCTCCCCGCGGTAGGATTGGCTACTGCTCTATACTCCTAAAGCACACACCGTTTCTAAATCAAATTCTTTATTATTTATGTATTGTAAGGCGTAACCTCCACTAAGAGCACCGTCAGCAATGCCTCTATTTCACTCTGCTGCACTAAAGGTGAGTGGCTGACTCTGGCTGAGCCCAGACACCATGAGAAAAAGACTCTCTTACTCAGTATAGAGCTGATGTTGATACTCTGAAAATAATGTAAAGCAACATCATTCACAGTGAAGTGAAATGAAGCAGGATTGGACGGTAAGTAGGCCTACATGAGGACTGCTTGTGATTATAAACTACTAGCCAATCCCTGCGCAGGGGGCGTGGCTTCTCGGAATACGGGTGAGATTAGGCAAAAGAAAGACCCACGGCGAAACGTGCCGGTGGAACATTGAGTACTCTCGCGCCGGGAGGGCGGCGTCACAGCAGCAGCACGCGCAGCGCCGTTAAAGCGCTCGAGCTACATGTTGCACTCGCCGCCGGTAAGACTCGCCGAAGTTACATGCGGATATACGGAGAAACAGATGAGAGGACCCGGGAAAACAAGAGAAATACTGTGAGTATTTTCATTTATTTCATCTTTTTGCCTTTTACTTCCCAACCATCCAATGAGCTGCTCATGTAAACAGAGGCTAAGTGAAGTGTACCAATGTAACTGGAGAACATCATAAAATAATAATGTCTTACTTTAATTCTTTAATTACTATATATATATATATATATATATATATATATATATATATATATACACACATACATTACTATATATATAATATTTATATAATAAATAGAGACATAGCCGTCTGTCCATCTAGCTATGTATCTGTCTATCTACGTAAAGATAAATATACATACATGACATATTACTACACGATATACTATATACGTATACACACATATACTCATACATACTTGTATATTTACGGAACATAATCCAAACATATTATGAAAGTTATTAATAATTCCTTGTCATTTATGTCCTTGTGCTAACTTCTTTAAATAAGGAACTAACACCTTAACAACCTTCATTTATTGGTCGTGTACATACAGTTTATATATGTATGTACTTTAAGCTGCACATGTACCATCTGAAAAAAGCAGCAAGGGAAGCTGTGGCATCGCCTTTAACACTGATGAGAGAGTTCAAAGGAACTCAGTGAACCCGTCTCTGTATTTTCACGAGCTCATATGGGGAGACTCTCGTACAGGATCTCCTTCCTTAAAACTGTTGTGTAGCCTAATTTTTGGACCGCGCTTTTAAGGATGAACTATAAGGATTTGTCAATATGAGATCACAGACGCATTAAAACAAACAAGGAATTGAATGTGAATGTGCTGCGTTGCCTTATCTGTTTTCTCACTGAAGGCCAGCATTCAAGGTTTTTTCCTAGACTTATGCAAGTGTGTGCTTATTGTCATTATCCTGTTTTAGAAATGAAGGACGTACCTTTTAGATTGGAACAATATGTACAAGGAAGACAGGTACCTGACATTAGTGGAATGTATCTGATGTTACAAAACGTGTGAAATTCCCCTTTTGTCATGAAGGCGTGTAAAAGTGGATGTCTATAAGAAACCACATTAATGTAATCTAAAGAACAGACACTTTTGTGGAGAACATGTGCTTCTATACGTTTTGTGCACATCAGTGTGTGTGAGCATAGGCTGTTGTCTGGGAGTGTTTCAGTGTAGATGATTTGTTTTAGAACATAATGACTCAACTGCCGTGCGTTTTCATCTTTGTTCGAGAAGCATCTGGTGAGACTGAACCACACGAGTGTAAGCTGAGGTTTAATTAATTGTCATCAATTACCTGATGAAGAGTCTCATAAAGACGCATCAACCTGTAAAAGAGTGGCTCATGTAGGTGGAACACAGGCAGGTTTATAGAAAGTACGTAATAATTATGGGGGAATGGGTTAATGACAAGAGAAAGCTTTTAGGCAGGAAAGAGCTGGAGAGAAAGACAGACAAGTGGTTGTATATTATAACAAACATATCAGGAACATGCTTGTAAATTGCCTTTTTAACCAGGTACCATGTCCTCCCATACAAAAATGTAATATATTCCAATATATTTTATTTACATATAGTATATTCCAATATATTACATTTACATATTGGAATAGGCTGCAATGTATCGTCACTATTGGAACAAAACCTTATATAATTTTTACTGTTTTTTAACATTATTTGGAAGTGCCCTTTACATTGTGTAAAAATTTATAATGAAAGAACTAATAGAAGTGGCCCTAAATGACTTACATTAAAATATATTCATATCAACATATATTGAAAGTTAAGAATGTTTTCTTTCTTCTGTAAATTTACTTTTTTGTAGATATAAGGTTTTGTTCTGACAGTAACAATATACAGGGGACATGCACCAGAAGTTCTGCAGGTACCAGACGTTCTGCAGAATCCTAAGGAAAGAATTCAGTTCCATTTTAGCACTATAAAACTTTATAAATATTAATCCATTCATAGAGCTAGTTCATATTTTAGATGAGAAGGCACAAGTACTTATCATCTGAACTAAACTAAATGAGAATTTGCTTTTTTTTCCCTTGTATCTCTTCCATCTGTCTGTACTTTCACCCCTTACATATCATCAATACATCAATACAGAATGATGTAAACCATTTATATAAGAAAAAATGCACATTGCTCATGCTGGAACAATAGATTCTTGTGGATTTATATGGATCATAAGTACATAATTTAGAATCAAATGTATTACATTATATATCGTCTGTTAGTCAGAGAGTACAATTGTCTTAATTAAAATGGACTCTGACGCACATACCTCTCAGACGTGTGTACATTCATTTCCATGTGTTTGGACCATATTTTCCTGTCATTGTTAGTAGCAACCAATTTGTAAGAATGGTTTCCACATATATCATAGCGCAAGTGGCTTTTTCTGTGTGTGTGTGTGAGTGAATAAACATTAAGTTCTTTGAGCGAGAGCCTTGAGTCATAGTGTGTATCTTGCAGGACTGGACTGAATGTTCTCTTCTCTGATCTGTTTTTGTTCCTACATCTCTCCGGTCAGTTCGCAGACGTAATACTCACGAGACACCCTTCTTCACTAAATCTGCAGCTTCAAACCATTCAACCTAATTAGCATCCGAACAGCATCATTTATAGACATAATGGCACCAGTTAGGCTGCTGGCTTTGTCTGATCTGATTATTATTTACAGCGACCAGTGACCAGTGCATATGGCTATGAGAAATGGGAATTTCAGGTGGCTTTTTCACATTTTGGTGATGTGTGATTTGAAAGAGTTAAAATGTCATCAAATGAAAACTTGTGAGATTAAACTGGTTTGCTTTAACAATATCAATACATCATGGCTAAAAACTGCTAGGACCTTATTGTGCCTGGGCATTAAGATGTTGGTTTATTGGTTGGTTTTATTAGACACCTGTGGCTGTACTGTTTTACTCGTTAGACTCTTGAAAAAGTGTGTTTTTAAAGGGTTCTTAGTAAAAATGAACCTAGAACCATGATAACTCAAAAGCTTAAATGGTTCTTTGCATGCTTTGCAGACTTTTCATAATGGAGAACCTATTGCATGTGGTGTATACACACACACACACACACACACACACACACACACACACACACACATATATATATAGATAGATAGATAGATAGATATAGATGTCATCATCTATCTACATATATGAAACGTTTTTTTTATGCAATATGCAATAGATGAACTCTCCTTGGTCCTCCTCCATTTTTAAAAATATCCTGTAAAGAACTACATACAACAGCTTTCCCATCATACACATGAATCATATAACCATGCAATGAGCCATTTATACATTCAAACAGTTGTTTGAGTTGTCAAGATTCCATATACAGTCATCGCCTTCACTAAAGAACTCTTGTAGAACCATTTTTATAGGGGTGTATAACCTTTTTTGGTACTAAATGGAACCCTTTTTAGTAAGATTGCGCTATTTTTTTGATTTTTTAAACAAAAAGCTGAAATTTGATTGTTATTCATGATGACCAGAGAGAGGTGAGCAGTGCATATAGTTGTATGTAATATGAATTATTCACATTTTGTAATATGAGATTTGAAGAGATGAGCTGTATGGGGTTGGAATGATGAGCTTGTTTGGTTTAACACTGGGAGGTGAAATGACAGAGAGTGGTCTCGGAGCTCCAGTGTGAAGCTGAAATTTGGTATACGCCATCAGATTGTGCCAGGAACTGTGAATGGAGGGAACATAGTGTTCCCCTGCACACACTCATAAGCTTTAGTGTACACTCTCTCTCTCACACTCACACACACACACACACACACACACACACGCATATACACACACACACACACACACATGCCTCCTCCCATCACAGAGAAAGACATACACACACACACACACACACACACACACACACACGCTCTCTCACACATACGCACACTCAGGCAGATAGGTGCCTATGGTTAAGCGCAGATCTACCAGTCTTGCTTTTTAAAAAATGGTTATAACACAGACAAAGACAACAGGAGACACTTTCATTCACTGTCTGTATCTCTATTTTTGTCTAACAAGCTCACATGCAGACTCCTAATTGTACATCTGGGGAATTCTGTGAATTTTGTAGGAAATTAGATTGCAAAGATGTTGTGGTTGAGCTTCTGGTGTGTGTGTATATATATACTTGTGAAGATATTTTAAGAATTCTCAAATCAAAACTTCAAGGATTAAACATTGCTGGGTTGCTTGAACAATATTACAGTATCACAGCTAGAAGCTGCTTGAACCTTGTTTTGCTTGTGCTTTGAGATGCTAAATTATAAGGAAAGGAACCACTGCCATTATAGTCTGTATTGAAGACACTGATGACTGCACTGTTATATTTGTTAGAGGTATTTTGAGGGTGTTTTTAAACGGAAAGTCGAACAGGAAGCTGTAAAATCTCTCATGAAAAAAGGGGATGCCCCGCTGCTAATATGGGATGCTATGGCACCTGTTCTCGATATACTTTGATGGATAGGCCATTTTGGTAAGCTTTTAGTGAATGTCACCCTAGCTAGTTTGAGCGCTGATGCTTTAAGAAAAAAAAAAAAGAAAAGCAGATCGTCCTCCTAGTGTCATGAAAAAAGGACACAAAGTTAAAATTTAACCCATGCAGTAAGAACCCATGTAGAATTAAACACTACTTAAGCTATGTTTCAACTACGTCAACATTTATGAGGCAAATTCCACCTCTCCAGGATTTCCCTAGATTGTCCAGGTTTTTGGTTGCCAGGAAAAAAATAATTCCATTGATGACTCAAAATGTCCAGGAATCCAAGCATTTTCAAATGTAAGCATTTCTTATGAATTTTAAATTGGTTGTGTTTATCCGGTTAAACTATTTGTATATAAAGAATGGGACTGAGTAGTTCAGATTATTCTCAATGTTGTTTTGGAAGTGCACCCTGCTGGGGGCATGTTTAACCAGGCAGCACTTCAGCACGATAACCAATACAGGTTATTGTGTGAAGTTGTAAAATACAGGAAGTCTTGGGGAGTTCAGGAACCTCTAATTAACGTCTTAGACCCTCCAAATGTCTCAAAATGAAACTTCTGGGGTGCCCCTAAAAATAAAGTTATTATGATGTCATGCTCTCCTGTAGCAAAAAAATAGATGCTTAAATACAAATTCAGGGATAGGTCACTGCTTAGCTGCTTCAACCACAATCTGTGAGCTTTGCTATTGTCTTTGACTTGGTCAATTTCCCAAGTGATCGGTGGAAAAAGTGAATTGTTATTCATTTTGTTATTCATTTCTCAAACTTGATGACTAAATAGGAGATGTGTAAAATCTGAATTAAGCATGGAGGACTGCATTACCAAACTAATAAAGAGCATTTCAAAAAGAAGGATTATTAAACCAAGTACATAAGTTAGCAAGTTAGCTAGCATAAGTTAGTAAAAATACTTTAGCAGCGAGCCAACAATGGAGTAGCCAGGCAACATGGGGCCCCTGAACACTGGAGGTATTTCGCAGACAGACAATAACTGAGAAGATTAGCTTCTGTAACTGAACTGACATCTATCTACCTTAAACAGCACTGTGAGCATAGCTACATGTCTGCGAAGTTTAGGAAAAAAAAATACAAACAAAAAAAGTCAACATAAAATAATTGTACAGTCTAGAATACCAAATTGTGCAGTCTAGAAACTAAGTTCTGCAGTCTAGAACACCAAATTGAGCAGTCCAGAAAACTAAATTCGGCAGTGTTTAAAACTAAAATGTGGAGTCTATAACCTTAAATTATGCAGTTGAGAGTACTAAAATGTACAGTCTAGAACACCAAATTGTGTAGCCCATAACAATAAATTGTGCAGTCCAAAACATTAAAATGTGCAGCCCAGAACACTAAATTGTGCAGACCTGAACATTAAAATATGCATTCTATAACACTAAATTGTGCAGTCCTGAACAATAAACTTTGTAAGAACAGTAAATTTTGGAGTAAAGAACACTAAATGTACAGTCTAGAACATTGTTTCTTAATCCTGCACCTGGTGACCCAGCCCCTGTCAGTGATTAAGAGCACTGTTCTACAACACTAAGAGAGATTCTTGATTTCTGAGATTAATTGATGCTTAACCTGAAGAAAATATAAACGAATCCAAACACTGTCCTACATTTTCATGTTATTATTTTTTCTAAAAGGAATTTAGTGTGAATTTAGTGTGATTTTATATACTGACCAACCGATTTTAGAATCACATAAATCTTTATGGGTTGTTTTTTCAGACAAGGATTAAACATAGTCTTGGAGTTCACAGTATACTGAACACAGATTCTTTATGTGTAGTCCAAGACTAGGCATAATCTCTGTCTGGAAGGCCAAACCCAAAGCTATCAACTTTCACAAACAGAAGAGCATGTTTAAAATACTCAGTATGACATTTGTGTTGGGATCTACTGTTCTGATGGCGTCATGAGAAAACTGTTTTTATTGTTTTTGAACATGACAGCTGCTCCTTACATTTTGTGAACATTTCATGACAAATGTACTGAGAGAAACGTTGGAAAAATTTTAATGGCTTTTTAATTTACCATGACAAATGTTAAGTAAAAAACAAGTTTACATTTTCCTGTAGTCATAATTTTACTGATACAAGGTTTTCTTATGATGTTACTGATAGTATCCAACATGATATTGTAGAGATCACTACGAACAGAACAAGCTGCACTTTAAATTTCTAACTAGTTTGTGTTTGTGTTTCAGGGGAACAAGGGCATGTGTGAGTGCTGAGATGGCCACGTTTGAGGATGAGTCTTCGACTAGCCAGTCTCCTGTTGATCTCTTTAACTCACAGGGTATTGATATCACTCCAAATAAAGACAGAGGAGTATGTAAGGTTAGTAACATTCTGTTATCTCACGCTCTCTACATCTGAGTCACAGTTTCTTGATTTATGTAATATTACACTGTGCAACATAGATAACTCAGTTTCTGATCAACTGACAAATGAATTTCTTGATTTTGTACATCATGGCCCTATGTAGTCTGAACTATTACTAATACTGTTACTGATGAACATTAGATATACGGTTTAGACATTTAATACGACTGTCTTGCCAAACATTATTAAATACTGATTGGTCCCTGGTCTAATCCACATCATCTGTGACATTTTCCCTCTATTATTGTGCATGTGGTCATCCTGTTCTCTTGTGGAACAGGAATGTGGACGCTGTGTTTGGTGTTTTTATGGCACAAAGCACTACTGAAACTTAATTTGAAGATGATGCGTCTTTCAGAACATTGTGTGACATTTTGCTTTTGGTAGTCTAAAATGCAGGTTAATCTGTGTTAACACATCTGATACATTTTTAAGAATTAAACATTTTCATCTTAGAATGTTAAAACTTTCTACTCTCTTTTCTTTTTTAGATTTCTACCCAAAGAAAGAAAGCTCTAAAATGAGTGATATAATATTTCTTTATTCAAAATGTCTAAAATAGTGTCTTAGAGTAGACTGGAGAATAACCTCTTCAGACACATCACTTAAAACTGGGTGGTTTTCCCGATGGTGGATAAATCCTGAATGGTTTTAATTACAGAATTACTTGAATATCAGAAAAAACTAAAGGAACAGCATGATGATGATGGCTTTAATTGATTCTCCACAGATTGTGAAGCGGCATGGTAAAGAAGGGGAGAGGCCTATGATCGGGGACAAGGTGCATGTCCACTACACTGGTAGACTGCTTAATGGGAAGAAGTTTGACTCCAGCTTTGACCGAAAAGAGCCTTTTGTTTTAAATGTAGGCAAAGGTATTGAAATTTTATTGTGTGTTTTATTTTATTTTATAGTCACTATATCTATCATGTCTATTCTTCTTTTTCATCATTCATCTACTCTTTTTGCAATCATTTTGGTCTGAACTAAAGTGCTAAAGCCCATAAGTGAGAGAAGTGAGCAAAGACAAAGCAGGACAGATGCTGAACCAACAGAATAGAATGAAATTAAACATTAAAAAGAGAATTAGTAATTCAGTTTGAACAACAAAAGTGGCACTGACAGAGTAAAGCATAGATTAGTTTCCTTACAAATATATTTGAGTGGCAGCAATAGTATTGTCTCTAGAAAATACTTAGAGTAGTACATAGAACAAACCTACCTACCTCTGGAAAAAGACATCAAGTGATAGAGTCGTTTTAATGGAGAATTTTAATTGCTGTATCAATTTGACAAGACAGTTGAAAAGAATTTTTGTTAATACTTTACTGAAGGGCAGTATTCATAAGCTAAATGACACCTACACAGCCCTTTCAAGACAACTGATAAAAACCAACATAAACATTTACAAGGGCTTCTTCCAACAAACATTAGTTGTCATAAAGGCTGCTTTTGTCAATTCTGATGTCAACAGCAACTGTTATGACAACTACGCTTGTTGGAACAAGCCTTTATAAATATCTATTTGGGTTTGCGTAATAAGCAAGTGAGCTAGTCTGGAATTCAAGTGGATATTAATCTATATTCACACTGCATGATACAGAGTTATCTTGTTAGGTGACAAACTGTTAGGGCACTCTCTCATCTAAATAATACAACAAATGTCTGCCTGTTATACACCTACCCCTGAAGGAATGGTTGTTCTTTATGTCAGATAAAGAACTGTCATTCATCCAATAGACAGCAACGTGACTGTGCCTTGCTTTCATTTTTCTTTGCTTTCTTTTTGCTTGTAGTCAATTCTGGAATGTCCTCATAGGTTTACTCAAGCAACAAGGCAGAGCTGAAATTCCTGTTACCTCACACCTGTTATTTCAGTATAATTAGTCATGAAAGTTGCGCACCGCCATAGAAAGTCATGAAAGTCGCATAGAACTGTTTTGACATAAATGACCTTGCCCACTGTCTGTTTATATAAAGAGGACATTTTGTAATGAAAGATGCTGGCACATGCCACGTTCTACTGGTTCCCCATGCACCTCGCTTTTACATCCTTTTGTGTTTAACTGCAAGTTTATGTTACCTGCTCATATCCTCTGGGTATTTTTTGCACATCATTTCAAAAAGCCAGATGCTCTTTTTTCAGGATGAATAGACCAACAGAAATAACTCAAAATTAGTTACATATATTAAAGTTGAGAACGTCTTTCCTTCTTCTATAAATAAATTTAATTAATTAATTAATTTTTCACTAGCGGCTCATTGGAACAAGTGGAAAAATTCTAAACTTTCAGTTACTTTCAATCCCTGCTTACTTTTGTGCACCTTAAAGCCACTGTAACTCTTCCATACTTTCAATCTTGAAACCAACAGAGTCACAGCTGCGTATTGCAAACAATACTTCTGAGATAAGATATAAAATAATCTGCTTGCATAAGTAAGTGAAAAAACAGAAGTAAACAGGTAAGTAAGTTTCCAAAACGAGATCAAAAGCAATTAAAAAATATATAGAAAAAAATGTCCAAGACCTAAATCACTGAAACTGTCACGATCACATAAACAGCACTTAAAGCTTTCATCTTTGAGTGATAGAAGAAAATTAAGCTCCATTCTTGCTTCAGATCTGAAAACGTCATATGTGTTTCTATCCACTACTTCTACTATGTCTTCTACTATGCACGGACAACTCAACGTTATAGGTCTGAAAGGATGTGTAGTTGTCAAAAAGCCCTTACTGAGAAAAGGAAATAGACAAAAAAAGAAGCCTATTTGTTCTAGAACACAGAAACCGGACATCTGAGATGTGGAGTAAGGTTTCTATAGACTCATGTTTCTTAATTTGTAATATGTTGGATCGTCAGAAGCAGAAAATGCAACCAACTTCTAAGACTGTACTTTGGATGTGTGGAAAAATGTCCCTGCAGATTTATTAGAAAAACTGAAAGCAAGCCCTAAAAAAGTGGAAGCTGTGATAAAGGCAAAGCGTGGACCCACTAAATACTGAGAAACTGATACTATATTTAGCTGTTGAGGCTTCTGTGATATTTAGTGTTAAGTGTGTTTTTTTTTGGTGTTCTTTTTCAGAATTCTAAAAAATGAGCAAAGGAGGTCTCTGGCTACACAGAATACAATCAAATGTAATTAGGCTAATAACATATAAACATTATATAAACAGTAATACCACAAGAGGGTTAAGTGAGGATACATAACTGTTCCTTTGCTTAGCTGGAACAATAGCAGTAGTCAGGTGCATTTTTATTACCTTTTTATGATGGGATTACCATATCTGTTACAATCAGGTAGCACTAGATGTTCATGATGTTCTCTCTTTTGGTTTGTCGCAGGCCAGGTGATCAAAGCATTGGATATTGGTGTGTGTTCGATGCAGAAAGGAGAGGTGTGTTTGCTGCTATGTAAGCCTGAATATGCCTATGGCAGTGCTGGAAGCCCCCCCAAAGTCCCTACAAACTCCACTCTACTGTTTGAGGTAAAATTGACTGCATTCTGTGCAGAAAGTCACTGCGGTTTCATTATGGTTTCCAGTCTGGCCAGATAGGAGATACAGCACATATTATCATCACCAAAACAGGGAAGGAAATGTTTTCCTGATGTTAAGAGGTTACAATGGAACGTCTATAATGGTGTTATACCAGTAATCAGCTAATATTTTCCTCCTTTCCTTCCTCAGGTAGAGCTGCTGAACTTTAGAGGGGAGGAGCTTACAGAGGATGGTGGAATCTTGAGGAGAATAAAGGTCAAAGGTGAAGGATACAACAATCCCAATGAAGGGGCCACAGTTCATGGTATGTCCAATTTTACTGTACATGTCAACATTTAATTTCATAAGTCAACTGCCTCGAGGTTACTACACTAAACTCTACTTTGACACACAGTTTGGCCACCCCTGGTATTGTATTGTTGATTAAGTGAAAATAGGTACTCACTTCTGCACATTTTAATGCACAATTACTGTTCATTTTTTAAATTTGACATATTGGAAAAAAAAATAAAGCATAACATGTGGCCTGTGCAAAAGATATGTTTCTTATTTATTTATTCATTTAGACTCAGCAAAAAATCTGTGCACTGAATTGTTTTTATTTCTGTTTGTTCCCTGTTGAGAGTAACTGAACTTATTTTAATGTAGAAAATCAACAAAACGTGTAATTTAACAGGGGTGTTCAAACCTTTGCATACGACTGTACTACATAGCTGAAATTTAGACAAGCCTGTTGTTTTGCCTGTATGTTACAGTCCACTTGGAAGGACGGTGTGGTGGTCGTTTGTTTGAGGCGCGGGACATCACCTTTGTTGTGGGTGAATCTGAGGACATGGGTGTTCCTCTGGGAGTGGACCGTGCCATGGAGAAAATGCAGAAAGGGGAATGCTGTCTGTTATATCTAAAACCCAAGTAGGTTCAGGAAAATTTTGTTTTACAACACTTAAGACTTAATTTTAGCACCTTTTCCACTCATTTCTATTACCTGTATATGTATGAAATATTTATTATTGATTTATTTAGTTCTCATTAAAATCAGAATCCTGATTGTAATTTTAATTAATGATACTATTTGTATAATTTACAAATTGAGCCACAAAAGATATTCTTTCCCTATAGCTGTATTTAAAGTCATGAAAAACTAACAAAAAACAGTGTATGCTCCAGAACCATATGGGCCTGTTTGAATTAGCTGAAATAGACTGATGTCTATCTCTTTGAAAGCTTAGGTGTACGGCTAACACGTTGTGTACTCTGTTTTACAGATACGGCTATGGCAAAGAAGGAAAACCAGAATATGACATTGGACCAAATGCAGAACTGCTGTATGAGGTGACACTCAAAGATTTTGAAAAGGTGAGGTTTTGTGCTGAAGATTTTTTATTTAAGTTACTGATCCAATGTAATTAGATAATAACTAATAATAACTAAGTTTAGAATTTACATTAGTTCAGAACATTACTTTACTTTTACATTAAAGTAGATCTGTATTTAGACTGGAAGTTAAAAATAATAACATCTTATTGGTATTGGCAGATAATTATTCAAATTATCAGCATCAGATAGATGTTCTGATTTTACCTATATTTCAAACCAATATTGGTTGATGTATGTTTTGTGCTACAGAAGAGCAGAATGTTTAAGTGATGCCGGGATATTATGCCAAAATGTCTGCATTTTATTCTATGACTGCGTTTCTGACTCAACAAATAAGTATTTATCTGTAATGCTAATTTCCAGATAAATGTAGCCTCAGATCTAACTTTTTGTAAATGTTTATGCATTAGCAATGGCAGTTGCGTACATGAAATATATTGGGTATTAGCATCAGCCCACAAATTCCAAATTAATACATCCCCAAAAAATAAAACCATGAAATTTCATGCAGTTAATGCAGTTAAGAGTTAAACATATTGGAAACAAATTAAATGTAAAATATATAATGTGCCCTCCCTAAGTTTAGCACAGGCAACATTTTATACTTTTTTCTCCAAAATGTTAAATTGAGCAAATAAACAGTAATTGTGCACAAAAATGTGCCAAGCTGTGGCACATTGAACAAAATATCTATGGTGACAATTAAGTTGACCAGAGGTGGCCAAAGTTTTGCTTACAATTGGTGTGTTTGTGTGTGTGTGTGTCTGTGTGTGTGTGTGTGTGTGTGTGTGAGAGAGAGAGTGTGTTAAGGGCTTGTTTTTGGGATTTGCAGTAAAATTGCCATTTAATGTAGAATCATATCTAGGCTTGTGTGTGAAAATAGACAGAGAGAAAGAAAAATACTCCCTCTAGTGTTTACTGAATGACCCTAGACACATGACTGACACTCCATCGTTCCACAGGCCAAAGAATCCTGGGAAATGGACTTGAACGAGAAACTGGAGAAGGCGGTTCTGGTCAAACAGAAAGGGACCCAGTACTTCAAGGTGAGATGTCAATTATCTTTCTCTTTTGTGTGCTTTAGATATAAGAGAATATTCTACATAGACCACGTGTGCTTGTTGTTGTGACACAGAGGTTTAAATTCAACAGCCTACTGTACAGCTTTCCTTAGAGATGAAATCAAGTTAGTTGTATTGTCAAGCTTATTTGATTGATGTAGGAAGGGAACCCTAAACCTACACACAAGTAAAAGCACCACTTCAGTGAAATAATCACTCAGGTAAAAGTACAAGTGCTTTTCCAAAAAAACAACTTGAGCAGAAGTACAAAAAACTATTTAGAAATGCAGTCGAACTTGTTAGCACATGCAGCATCTACTAACATAGGAACTGAAGTTTGTTAGGCTCTATTCTTCTCCTTATGGGAACATGACACCTCCCACTTTTGAGGTTCATCATTAAAAAGTAGATTATTTTCCAAACAAATATAGTCGATGTATGTAAAAGTATTATCGAATACTCTGTAAAGTACCTGCTTACCTGTGCTTGTGTCTTTTCAGTCTGGGCGGTACTACCATGCTGTCATCCAGTACCAGCGAATCGTGTCATGGTTGGAGATGGAGTGTGGAGTTGGTAAGGAGCAACAGCAGGCCATCCAGGCTCTCCTGCTGGTGGCCCATCTAAACCTGGCTCTGTGCTATCTACGCCTGCGGGAATACTCGCAAACTGTGGAGAACTGTAACAAGGTAGAGTACCAGAAAGCAATTTTTTCCATCATTCAATATTGATAATTATTATCTCCTAATGCTTGATTTTAAATCTGAATGAGAAATTTGAGAGAAGTGAACCAGTTCTTGCTATCAATTGTATAAACAGTTGCTTAGGGCCCCCAAGCTGCAAGGGGTCTGCGAGTATGAATATACATATATCATCGCTGTCCAAAAGAAACAAGTATCTCCAAAATAGTAACTTTAGGAGAGGGAAAAAATACTCAATTTCAATGTGAGTTAATTCTAACTTACATTCTAACTTAAAATCATTTCTGTTGGTCCATTCATCATGAATTTTACACACAATGTAAAGGACAGCTGGTGTGTTGAAAAAATGTAGAAAAATAGAAATGGAGACAAGGTGTGTGTGTAAAAAAAAAATAGAAGAAATATTCAAGATTTTGCGTGATTTCTAGATTACTATTCACTATTGTCACGTCTCTTCCCGGCTCCACTGAAATGACTGTGCCTCACTCCATTGCGAACTCCAACTCCCAGAATCCTCTGGGAGTTAACCTTACTCCGGACAATCCACTCGTCCACGTTCAGCATCTCCTGATTACTGATTTCTGTCACCTGTATCTCATGTCATGCGTTCCATTAGAGTTAGTATAAAGCCCGGGCTTCTAGCATAGGTTCTTTGCGAAGTAGTGTTTCAGCCTGCTGTATGTTACCGAGTTTTGTTTTCATTTGACTTTGCTTTGTTCTCTCGTTTACGACTTCTGCCTGACCCTTCGGACATTGTTTTGCCTCGTTCGTGTTTTGACCTTTTTGCCTGCCTTTTTGACTTTGTCTGCGTCTCGCCTGAACATACCCGTTAGCTTGTGTATGACTTTAGCCTGTTTCTGGATTCCATCACTGGTTGTTCCTTTATTAAACGTTTTAACCAACAGCCAACTCTGCAAGCGTCCAGACCTCTCACAACTATTAAGCATATTTGTGATACTGACCAATTTGTACAAAAATTCACTTTTTTTTACCTTATTCCTACTATTGAAGCACATGTTCAGAGGGACATCCCAAATACTAAGAAATTGTGAAATTCATGTAAACAAAGATTCTACTAGAAATCATTGTAGTTGTAGGTTTATTATTCTTATCATTATTATTATTATTATTATTATTATTATATTTTTATTTGTGGTGCTACAGGTTCTATTTTGTTTCAACTCATTAAATCAATATATATATATTCGTTTGGACCTTCTCGGCTCTCAGCTCCTACTGACTCACAATTCTTCCTCTTCTAACACACAAGGCAGACTGGCCTTGCCTTCACAATAAGAGTCCTAAGCAAAATAACCCTTCAAATAAATGCAGAGGAACCAATAATCCAGAATTAACATGCACACATTTCTTGAACACAATTAAGAATGTTTTTCCTTCTCCTGTAAAGTTACCAACCATTTTGGGGATACAAGGATTTGTTCAAACAGCAATGATTTGTTATTCTTCATGTTTTTCTTTACATGCCACATACTCATTGTGTATTATGTACTGTATAATTTGGCACATTTTTTTTCCTGATCAGCATTAATGAAATATTAATTGTTGTTCATTCTTGAATACAAAATAGTATGACTGAGGTGGGTGAGGAGACCTCACATAAAATAAAATGTCACTTGGGGCCCCTAGATGTTCAGAAAATGCTCTTTGTGTGAGAAGAATCTGGCCTCTAGCTCTGTGGACTTTTTCTCCCCTTAGTCGCTTCTTGTTCTTAGACGTTTACCTCAAACTCACAGCCTTTTTTGTTCTCCATAATTTCGACCCTGAAAACGAAAACTGAAAGCTAACTCTGCTAACAGTCTGAGTGAGTATGAGTATGAGTCTGGTAAGAAAATGGCGAACATCGCCATCCAGTGTACAGAAGTATTAACTGTGTAAAGTTTAAGCCTTAAACCTGATTGAGAAACAGAACCGCATAAATAACTTACCTCAAGTGCATCATTGATGACTGATTTCTGTAGTCATCGTTATCATTTTATTGCCCAGATCTATGGCATACACACTACTACAGTAACTGAAGCACAGACAGTGCAGCTGCACATTGAAGACTGAGCTAATAAAGCAAATGGTTGATGGCTTTGCTCTTTGCTAGGTGGTGGAACTGGACTCTCAGAACGAGAAGGCTCTATACCGGCGAGGAGAGGCTCGTCTGCTACGGAACGAGTTCACTCTGGCCCTGATGGACTTCCGGCAGGTCCTGCAGGTGAACCCTTCCAATCGTGCTGCCCGCTGTCGGATCGCCGTCTGTCAGCGCAAAATCCGTGAACACCACGAGCGCGATAAGAAGATTTACGCCAACATGTTTCAGAGGTTCGCCGAACACGACGCCAAGGTACGCAGATCATCTTATCACAGTTAAACATTTTTAAAACAGATGTATTAAAAAATGCGTAGTGCTTTTTCTGTTTTTTTGTGTGTCCAGTGAAGGACAGCACATTTCAGGGAAAGTGTTTTGAGCTGGGGAGTGCTGATATAGGGTTATATTTTTTGAAGCATATTGGTGACGTACAATGTCAAAATGTAGTTTTTTTCAATTGTTCAGATACTTTATATGAAACAGAATCGTAACATGTTAGATTGTGGCAAGGGACAACAATAGATAGATACAATAGATTCAAATACAAACATTATGCAAATGAGCTGAGCGTCGACCAATCACATTGATATGAGGCGGAAGCTGCTTGTGTCTCTCACTCGAGCAGGTCTTTCAGGATATTATCAAAGAACTTGTAGAGAGGAGAATTACTGCTCTGTAATGTCTTCCAGGTTTCTCAAACGCTAGAGGGCGCTCCCTAGCGAGTCCAAAATTAATCGGTTAAGATGGAACATTTAAGTAAAATGATAGTTTCCAAATGCTTAAACATTTTAATGTAAAATAATACATTCATTTTCTGGACAAAGAACAGTAAACAGTTTAACACTAAGAGTTTTTGAACTCGAGTTATAGCAGTTCAAAATGGCTCCTTATGTATGTTCATGACGTCAGTGAGTGTGAACAGCCAATGAGCTGCTCCACTTGCCAACCAGTCAGCACTCAGTAGCAGTAGTGGGGTTTTTTTTGCTTTTTTAGTGAAATACATTCTTCTGCTTTCTAAAATTAAAGGAAAGGTCTGGGCAAGTGATTAGAAATTATTTTAACTTTTCATTTTTAGCCGTTTAGCTCTATTTACTCCCGTTCATTGAGGACTCGCTTCGTGGGTGCCCTATGGCATTTTGCAGTCATTTTTTGATATAATGGGGGAACAGGAAGAGGCCAGGCTCTGACATTATTACAGTGATTGAAGGAAAATGGACAGGGGCAGATAACTATACTGACTGAAAAGTGTACATTTTTTAAAACAATATTAGGCCGTGTCGGGACACAGAAGCCTCCAGCTTCTGCTTGTGTTTTAGCAACATGCCCCCAAAGCATCTGACAGCTAGTGTGGAAAGCCATTCACTTTGCTGTAAAATGCAGTGTTAAAGCCCCGTCTGCTCATTTTCATAATTTACTTCAAACTATTACCTATAGTTTTTGTAGTGTGTAATGGCAGAAAGGGACTTTTCTTGCTTTTGTTCTGTTAAAATATTTTTTAAATGACTAGTTAGATTTGAATTGGGCGGGATTAAATTTGGCACAGGTGAAGTCAAACCTGCCAAAGTACTAATCAGAGTTAGCAATATGTAGGGCACACGTCGGCTCCTCGCATTTCTCTCCCTCACATAAAGTGACTGCTCTCCTGCGGCGCATGTGACAGCCAAAAGTCAAGTAGGTTATTTAAGCTTTTCTAAATTTGTTAACAGTACTTGTTATGAAGGTTTCTACACCGTTGTTTGTGTCGTAGCTGGACACGGTTTCCCACTTGTGTTAGTAACTGGATCCTATTTTAAGCGATTCATTTATGAGAGTGCTTTAGATAGCAGCCCACCTTAAATGTAAAAATAAAATGCTAATATGTTAGCTATCTCCATTACATCGAGGCTCACAGTATTTCCCTATACCAGGGGTATTTAATTAAAATTCAGGAAGGTCCAGTTAGAGAAAATTTCCTCAAGCAAAGGTCCGGAACATCATAATGTCTAACTTACATCATGATTCAGTGCCATACACTGTATACTGAAGTAGCCTAGTAGTTATATCAACATCTTATGCAGTCAACAACTGAATGTCAAATCAAATAAAGTGCAATTCAGTCATATTTCAACAACATTTATTGTCAGTTTTCTCTTTTTAGAGCACGACATGTGAAATAACATCCCTCTGACTCACTTTCTTCTCTGACTGCTGTTCCTCACCTTGTCCCTCTCCTGTGTGTGCCTCATTCACTCAAGTCTCAGTGCTCATTGTAATGCACAGATCTGATTGGCTGAGAAGTGTCACATGTGATATTTACAATGCATGCGATTGGTCTGTGAGTTTCCCGGGCCACTATAGCCATACCGTAAAGGCTAGAAAAGTTATGCCGATTAAAATAGGACCAATTGTACTTCACAAGTGTGGCACACAATGAGACACACGATAAATTTCTCCACCGTGTCTGCAAATATAACCATGCTGACTCGTAATAGGAGCTTGTGTGACCTCCAATTCAGGAGCAGAGTTCCACAGTTAGCTAACCTACCTATCTATAGATTACGGATATAATGTCAGTGTTGCTGAGTGTCTGAGACACGATATGTCCGTTATCTAACTTACTCGTCATAAAATGAAAGCCTTCTCTAACATTATCTGCAAAATGTGAGCTTAGAATTACCATTAGACAGCTTGTTCTCGATTATGCCCTTTTTACTCACCATTCAGAGAGCTGAAGTGATGCGGGCGGCTCAAACATGCAGGGCTGAACGACACTAATTGGAAGTGTTGCATTTGTAACAAATGCTCCAAAATAAATGGGTTAAGATGGAGCATTCGAACAAAGTCATAGTTTCTAAATGCTTAAACATTTTCGATATAAAAGAATGCATTCATTTCCTTGAACACAGAACAACATAAAACATTTTAACACTGCTGTTGTATTTTTAAGCGCTATTTAACTCCAGTTATAGGAGTTTAAACCGACGCCTCATGTACGTCCGTGACGTCACTGAGCAAGAACAGCCAATGAGCTGCTTCACTCGCCAACCAATCAGCACTCAGTAGTAGTAATGTAGCCTCCTGCTGCCCAAAACCGTTTGCTGTAAAAAAAAGAAACATAAAGGTATGTTTTGTTTGTTTTTTTAGTGGAATACATTACTTTCTAAAATTAAAGGAAAGTTCTGGGCAAGTGATTAGAAACTATTTTAACTTTTCTTTTTTTGTTTTGCAGTCATGTTTTTAATATAATGGGGGAAATAGGAAGAGGCCAGGCTCCTCATAAACTGGCTCTGGCTCTACACAGCCCCTGGTGCCAGGTTGTTTACGTTGCCTGAGAGACTTTGGTTGTGTCCTTGCAGGTTGGCCGATTGAAAAGGAAGAAAGAAGAGAGCGGATTGGTAGATCAGAACAATAAGGCTGTGAAGAAGTCTCGGACGAAGAGTCAGGACGGCTCCTAAAGGCCCATGGCCCACCAGTGCCTGTTAATGAGGTGAAGCTTGTGCACCTGGTGTGGAGGGCAGCGCGGAGGGAGTGGACATTCATACACCTTCACCACTAACCTCGTGATTTGAGTGCTGTCACTCGGGACCCAAAGGAGACGATCCGAATACAATTCTGAATAAGAGAGATGGACACCGAAGAGGCTATAAGCCTAAACGGCATTCCTACAGACAAACCAAATGCAAATGATCCACATGACCACTGGCATCCAACACCCAACCTCCATCACGTTACATACTCCTCAACTCGGCAAAGGCATTTATCAGATGTACAGTATTAACAAAATAATTCAATGATGTCACAGAAATAGAATACAATTTAGTACTGTATTGTCTGCATACAATAATAATATGATAGGACTCAGTAGTGACTCAGAAGGATTTCAGTGTAGTGGGGACGATTTCGTCTGTGCGTTTGCAGTGTCATGGTGTGTATAGATGGCTTAGAGGTATTTTAGCACATTAAGGTGTTTAGACGAGTGGTCACAATGGGTAGCTGGACTCTAAAATACTGTACTGCCCAACAAGCCGTTTTGTTTGATAGTCTGCTGAACACAATAAGCAAACTTCCCTATGGGAACACGAGCTGATGACTGTGGTCGACTGATAGGCTGCGGCTCAGACTTTCCTACGCACTCCCCAGTGGATGGAGAAAGTATCCCAAGAGTTGGGCTGTGCTTGAAATCTCCATGTTGGGAATCTCCTGGTGTGAGGTGTAACTCGCGGAAGGCCCAGGTCCATGCAAAGCGATGCGCACATGTACACAAACACTTATTTAAAGAGACTCTTGCATGCTTCTTTAGTGGATACTGGGTGTGTCCTAGACTTGGGAACATAATTTAAAGGAACAACAATCTTAACCTTAAGCCTGTTAAGCAGGATATGTTCTTGACTCCAATCCAGTGTCTGTTATTTAGTTTTTTGTATGTATTTTGTTATCTGAATGTTTGAAGCATTTCTGCTGGAGGTCATTTGGCCATGTCTTTGAAAACTCAATAGTGTATGATAGCTAGGTTATGATAGTTCCTTCCATCCAGGATCATTTTCCTGAAATCTTTGTACTGAAGAAAACTTTGAACAGTATACTGTACCATATACAGTTGTGTGCAAAAGTTTGAACACCCAGTTACATATTTTGTTGCTTTTCTAATTTAACACATCCTTTACATGGAACAAACTTAAATATGGCATTTTCCTGCAAAGGTTAGTGAACATATTCTGTTTATTTGCTGACTGGTATCTTGGAAAAAATAACACAAAATCTAAAATGTGCCGCTACATTTGTACAGGCATTTTTTTAAATTGAATATGTTGGATTCAATAAATAAACAGTAATTGTGCATTAAAATGTGAAGAAGTGTGTTCTTGGTAGAGGATGTGTTAACTTATTTTTTATTTAGAAAATCAACAAATCATGTAATTTGACTAGGGACACCCAGACTTTTGCATGCGACCATAACAAGTGATCGTAACAGCATGAAGCTTTTGGGAAACACAATTTTGGTCGGTTGATCTTGATTTCTAAAACACTTGCGTTATGCTTAACACCTTAATCTCTTCTGATTTTAGACAGTAGAGATTATCAAAATAGTCTTGTTTGAAATAACAGACATATTTTACATTGGTTTGTTATCAAATCTCTGTGTGTATGCATTAAAAGGCAGGCCTATATCTCATAAAACTACAAAAAAGAAGAAAATCTGATGTCTAATCAATTTATGTTCTTAGATGCACTTTTAACCAAGTTTTAATGTAGTGCAGATGTGCACTTCCAGATTACACATCACAGTTAGAACCAATGGAGATTTTCTCAAGAAAACTGTTATGGTTATCTTTGGAAATGATCACTGCTGTGCATGGCAAAGAAGATGTAAAAGCAAGCATGACATTTGGTCAACAGAGGGTAGCATCTACATAATTTAAAGGAATACACATAGGAACAAGATCTGCCTTTGAAGACGTCTGCATCTGACACTGCAGATTTTGTTGATGCTATTTTATTTTATTACATTCGATTACGTATTTTCCATTTTTAATGAAACAGTTTTCTGGGAGATATGTGTGCAAAGGTTTTAATATAATCTGTAAAATGCATTACAAAATATTTCATTTCAAAAACCATAGTCCTGGAGGGCCAGAGCCCTGAGGAGTTTAGCAATATTACACTCAACACTCCAGATTCAACTCATCAGCTAATCATTAAGGCCTTTATGAGATGGATTCCGTGTTAGAAGGAAAACTCTAATGAGTGCAGGACTGTAGCCCTCAAGGATCTGACCCCTGCCTTAGAGCATGAGAAAAATGGGATGGGCCTCACTGAATTAAGTCCCTTCTGAAAGACTTTATTGTAGAATGCACCATTTTAGAGTGGACTTCTTTCATCAGTTCCTCTGCATTATTTAAAGAAACAGAACATTTAAATTAAATGTAGTACGACACAGTAGTAAATCTATAATTTTACACAAGTCTGCATTCTATGTGATGAAGGACAAGGCGGATATTTTATCTCCTATTTATCCAATCAGTGAGCTCACAGCTGATCTCTTGCATGAGCAATCTTCCTTACTTATCATAGCAGCTAAGTTTATTTTTATAATGGCAGTTGAATTATCTATGTCGTGACATGATTTTTTTTGTCCTTGATTGATTCTACTGACCGCTACTAGACATTGATCTGAACTTTTGTGAGAAATACAAGTGAATACTTTTATTAACACTGCAATGTGTTGTCTATCCATAAAATGAAATGGTATAAATCTATGCTAACTTCTATGATACACAGTACACATTTTCCCCTATTATACTGCCAATGGCTTAAAAAGCAGGAATGAGACACTAGAACTAGTTTTAACACAGTTATGCGTAAAGTGAATGCTGTAATGTGGGGCCAACTTCTGCATCCTAACATGTTTTACTAGAAAGACCCTTATTTCTAAAGACCAGCAATCACTAATAAAGTCAACTTTGAATAGGAATACACACATTCTTTGTCAAATCACTTTAAAATACATTTATTTATGCTGATTGCCACATTACTGATAAAAAAATAGATTTTTTAGGAAGTCTGGTCATGTGCAGAGTTGGATTCATTGAGACACAAGTCATGGAAAAGGCACTTTCAGTCTGTATCACATGACTTGCTTTTCTGTCACCCAACAGCTGACTAAAGGAAGCCAAGTAGGTCAGTCTAGACAAAACTGGGTCTTTGATCATGACGACCCCCGGCAGCATGAGCTGCAGTAGCTTCTGTTTTTGGGACTCTTTACTGTTATCGTCACTGGTCCGTCTGAAATGGCATTGGTCCTCCTCTTCATTTGTTTTAGATTTTAATTTATTTTTCTTCACTGTAGTTAAGAATCTAAAAAATAAAAAAAAATCAGTGATTTTAACAGCTAAGAACCTCTGGTGGCTGCTGAACCAGACTCATAGAGCTTAATGTCCTTGACAGAGTGCCACTGCTTCAGAGAAAGGCCACCAATTGTTATCCATTACATTCTAAATGTTGGATGAAATGAATGCTTTACAACATCAGTGCAAAGTTACAGTTCACATTGGCCTTAGAGTGGGATGTGCACCAAAGAATTAAGTTACAATGCTCCATAAAGCTGGACGATGTTCTCAGACATCAAAAGCCCACATCCTCTTCATTCTTCTCTGACAGACAACCCACATCCTCCTCCTTCTCAGCTAGTTTTGTTTTTCATTAACACTTGCCAATAAAGTAAATGTCTAATGTCAAAAGCACATCCCTCTATGTCCTGATGATGTTGGCCACTGCTCCCTGAAACCTATTTAAATGGCAACACAAAAATCACAGTGCACATCCACCTGTTAATCAGTAGAGGTTTAGGAGTGTAGCATTCATGAAGTACAGTATCCTTTGCTGCTGCGAGAACAGCATCCAGCAGTTTGCAACAGTCCTATTTAATAAAGAGGTATTCTGTGGTAAGGTCTAGAGTCATTTAACACTTAAAGAGGAGCACCACTTTGATCATCGTTACACTTGGTGACTGTGTCAGTTGAGAGGATGCACAAAGACTGGTGTAAATGTGCTTTTAGGGGTATCTGTGATTGACATAGCTAGAGTCCTTTGTGCTTCAATGATGTCCATGCCGATGTTCAGAGCAGTAAGGCCTCTAGAACACCTAGCTTCACAGGGGCTCCATCTGTGTCATGCTCAAAGGAAGGTCACTTGCTGGAGTGCAGAGAACATGTAATCTCTATGGAAGGTAAACGTTCAGGAGTTACAACGGAATCAACATAAATGACTCATTACGTGCTATCAAGATCAATGATTTCATGGCAGTAAAATGTCACATACTTTCAATATTATATTAGAAAGTTCATGATTAAGGGTAAAGTTAAGGGTATAAGAATGCAATCTGGAATGGTGCATACCTGTTTCAGTGATCCCCTGGATCTAAGTAGGGCGTAGATCATCCAAAGAGGAACCATGAGGGTCGAAGAGAGAGTGAACCACCAACCAATAGCATAGCCCCACCAGGGGTATTCAAATGTGTTGTTAAACTTTAGAGGAGTGAATTTGACCAGAGAGAAGATGAATGTACCCTAAAAAAGGAAACGTATGTAAAATTCACATGCTGACTCAGCAGTTTTGGTTAAAGTAACCAAAATGTCAGAGCTGGTTTTAGCTATATGGGTACTCACTGTGCACAGTACAGGAGTGATGTACTTCCAACAGTACTTTGCTAAAGGCAATGGCTGATAGCCAATCATGTCTGCTATATTATCATACAGACGATCAGCACCTATGGGGAATGGAGAATATTATACAACCATCATCATACAGCGCAGATACACTATATGCAAAAGTATGTGGACACCCCTCCTAATTATTGAGTTCAGGTGTTTCAGCCACACCCCTTGCTAACAGGTGTATAAAATCAAGCATATAGCAATGCAATTTCCATAGACACACATTGGTAGTAGATTGGGTTGTACTGATGAGCTCAGTGACTTTAAACATGGCACAGTAATAGGATGCCACCTTTGCAACAAGTCAGTTTGTAAAATGTATGCCCTGCTAGATCAATTGTAAGGTAAGTGCTACTACTATGAATTGGAAGCATCAACGAGCAACAACAGTTTAGACATGAAAACTCACAGACATGAAGCAGCAGACCATGGAAACTCACAGAGTGGGGCCTGCCAAATGCTGAAGTGTGTAGCGTGAAAAATTACCCTATCCTCTGTTGCATTACTAACTACAGCGTTTCAAACTGTACCTGGAAGCAACATCAGCACAAGAATTGTACGTTGTAAGATTTATGAAATGAGTTTCCATGGCTGAGCAACTGTATACAAACCTACGATCACTAAGTGCAATGCCAAGCGTCAGCTGAAGTGGTGTAGAGCATGCCACCACTCAACTCTAGAGCAGTAGAAATGTGTTCTCTGGAGTGATGAATCACACTTCACTATCTGGCAGTCTGATCTGGGTTTGATGGATGCTAGGAGAACACTACCTACTGGAATGCACAGTACCAACAGCAAAGTTTGGTGGAGGAGGGATAATGGTCTAGGGCTGTTTTCAGGGTTTAGGCTTTGTACCTTACTTCCAGCGAAGGGGAAATGTTAAAGCTACATAGATACATACAAAGACATTTTAGACAAATATATGCTTCCAACTTTGTGGCAACAGTTTTGGGAATGCCCTTTCTTGTTCCAGCATGTCTGTGCCTCCGTGCACAAAGCGAGTTCCATAAAGACATAATTTGAGGAGTCTTGTGCAGAAAAATGCCAGTGGACTGCACAGATCCCTGACCTCAACCCACTGAACACCTTTGGGATGAACTGGAACGTCAATTTTGAGAGAGGCCTTGTCATCCAACATCAGTGCCTGATTTCACAAATGCTTTTTTAACTGAATGGGCACAGATTCCCAGTGACACAGTCCAAAATCTTGTGGAAAGCTTTTCCAGAACAGTGGAGGCTGTTAAGGCCGCAATGAGAGCCATCAACTCCATATTAATCCCTGTGGTTTTGGAAGTCATAGAGGTGTGACAGTCAGTTGTCCACATACTCTTGGCCATATAATGTATGTATGATTGTACTGTACTGATTATGTAAACTACCCTACACCTATTAAATATGTAGTATGTAGTACTCTCTGTATACTCACCCTTTACAAACTGCATCTGTAATAACTTTCTGTACACCCAACCTATTAACAAACATGCATGCTACTCAAACTGATCAATGTTTTTGTGGAATACTCACCATATACCCATCCTACACATACTGACTGTAGAATGGCAAACAGTAAAAGGGTCATCCCGCTGCAGGCATAGTAATCAAACAACTGGAAGATATACAAGCCACCCTGCAAGACAAAACCAACAAAACAGTCAGAGGTGTTTTTGGCAAAGTGCATGCCTTTTCAAGCACTTACAACCCTTACATAGATCAATTTTAAAAAATTAATTTCTTTTTAACAAGGACACACAGTGCCAGATTTATGTACAAGCACAGGCGCAGCACAAATCCTGCCTTGATGCGACCGCAATGTCCGCCCGCTAGGCATCTTGAACTAACATTTGATTTACGGCGACTACAGTTTATCTTGCAAACTGCGCATGGCCTCGCGCACTAACTGATCAAAAATGAGGTGCAGGGTTTAAAAGAGGCAGTAAAATAACAAGCTGGGGACAAAACAGAAAATGAAAATTAAGTGACGAAGAGACAGCAGGGGTAATAAATTAAGTTTTTTTTCAGCAAAACTTTCTGCAGGGTTGTTACTTTTCTCTGGCTAAGAGAACAGCGTTTGTTGAGCCATAACATGGATTGCATTTGGAGTTTAAAAAAAAAAATCTCCAAAATGGTAACCTTACCAAAAAAGAGCTGAAAAACACTTTACATTTAATGTAAGTTAATGTAAGGAGATTTCATTCCAACCATTTTTAAGCTTTTCTATAGGTCCGGCCACCATGGAGTGTTTTGACAGAATGTAAAGGACAGCTGCTACAAAAAAAAAAGAAGATACTTGTTTTATTGGATAACGACGATATGTCAGTCCACATGTACAGAGTGATAGCCACTGTTGTAGTGTAGTGCAAGACAACATCTTAACCCAGGATGATGCATAGAGCATAACGATAAGTACCTCAGTCACCATCACCAGACCAATGAAAAAGCTCCCAATGCAGATGAGGAGCAGGAAGAATTTGCGTCGATGACCCATGAGGAAGAACTTTGGGTACATGTCAGTTATGGCTGTCATCAATGCCTCCAAACCTACAAACTGAAAAAGGAGTGCGAGATTAAAAAGCTTATTTACTACTAGATGCTACTGTGTATTTACTACTGTACTACTAGTTTCCTGAAACACAACGTTAAACAATGAGTATTCATAAAAAGATTGCTTTCATTGGGTTTTTTGTGCTGACCTCACTGTCCAAGCCCAACAGAATGATCATGATGAAGAAACAAATGGCCCATAGTTGAGGAATAGGCATCATGGCAACTGCTCTGGGGTATGCAATGAAGGCCAACCCTGGACCTGTAAAAACATTAAAAAAAAGACTGTTTATGGACTTAACACTTCAAACTTTGTGGTATGTCCACTAACTGGCTTAGGGCAGTGGTCACCAACCCTGGTTCTGGAGATCTGCTACACCTGCTACAGCTAATTAACTTCTTCTGAAGTTCTTGACTGGCCGGATCAGGTGCATTAGTGTTAGGTAAGAGGGTGGCTGGTAGGGCAGCATGCAGGTACAGTTCCCCAAAAAAAAATATTTCTTTGGACATAAATGGCGGTGCGCACATACATTCATGTGACTGATCGTCTCTGATCACATAGAGTCTATTAGTTTTATATAACATCAGAATCTGAACGTTTGTAGTTGTAGTTTTGCACATAATCACTGAACATTAGCAAGTGTTAATGTCCATATACTGACATCTTTAACTATTTTTTAAAAATCCATTTCAGGTCACAAACTTAGCTCAAAAGTACCATAAATGTCTCAGCCAACAGATTCATAACCATTTCATATACATTCTGTGGCAAATAAACGCTTCAGACGTCTGGTTCCTATCACCACCACTCTGAACAATTTTGACTTACTAAGTTTTTCTAGAACATCATTTACATCAAACCACTCTGACTTGTATGACTTTGTTTACTTCTTAACAATTTAATTATTCATAAATCCTGAAAAAAATCCCTTTAAATAGGCTGATTTTAATGACAGTTTTTATATAATGCTAAAGCTTCAGCTCTTTAAGGACAACATACTTTTCCTTGTCACTGCAAATTCAAGTTTTGATTTTTGTATTTTTTTAATGCAAATATTAAGTTATCACACATTTTGTGGCATTACCAGATTCATCCACAAGACCAATTAAATTAATATTACAGTCTTTATCCTATGCTAACAAAGGCTTCCATGTACCTAAACATTTCTGTGTATGGTATACTGGTCTGCAGGAGTTTAACTGCATTTACCCCAAAGCCCAGCTGAGGGTGCTAAAATTCCACCCAAGGATGCAGCACATGCTTTTGAACCCCTGTCAAACCCGGCCTTCCGGCATCTTAGATGCAGGTTGAAAGTAAACTTGGCAGGAAAAACAGATCTCCAGGAGAACGACTGGTGACCACTGGCTTAGAGAGTAGATCTAGTCACCTGACTCTGCCACTGTTGAGATGTCTGTCCCCTGCTCATAGGCCATGAATCCCAGCACAGAGAAGATGGCAAAGCCAGCCACAAAGCTCGTCCCACTGTTTAACAGGCACAGATACACACAGTCTCTGCAAATAGAAACCCAACATCCAAATCACTATTCATCCAAATTAAAACCGTAATCACCATTTTTCCCCCATTGTTAGCAAAAGGCCTCATTAATCCATCCATAAACTGTATGTGTAGATATTCACATAACTTTTCAATTAAACTAAAAACTATGCAGTGTGATTTCTTATGTGTTCAACTTGCTCACTTATAGCAGTTGTTGTTGTACTTGTTGTAGCTTCCTAGAGCAGTGAGGCACCCAATGCAGATTGCGTAGGAGTAAAAAATCTGTGTTCCAGCATCCATCCACACCTACATGGCAAGAGAGAAAGAGTCCTCACAACTCATTGACTGACTGAGGACAAAACAGCAGAAAACTGTGTATTGGTAACTAATGAAACCGTAACAAGTGAATGTTAACCCACAACTGGAACGCATTCTACTCTGTACAAAGGTTGCCACACCACAGTCTTACCACAGAGCAACAACCACAACAATGCTCCTCTCAAGAAAAGATAATAGCTGGCAATGACCACGGAATATGGCACATTCCTCCCTATGCAATGTTGGCTGATATCTGCAGTTCTCAGTCACCTGTCTCCACATTTTCTTTATTTATTTAAATTTAGTTTAACCAGTGTAGTGGCATTGATACCAAGATGATGAAATACTGTAAATTAAAGCCACCTTGCCAAATTCAGATTCCAAACATCAAAATGTAGGGAACCTTAAGAATACAGTTTGTACTCACAGAAAATACAAGTTAAGGACATACATATAATAATGATTAATATTTATGATGACCAGTAACAACTTTGTAAACAAAAATACTTCATTGTCTTCATTTGCCTTTGTACTGAAAAAGGACGCCAGTCACTTGATAAAGATCACTCTGATGAGTCAAGTGTGTGACATTTAAAATAAATCTAGTGATAAATCCAATGAATGCAAAGCTACTTTCAAAGAATGCATGTAAAAGTATCACCATAGCTTTAAAGTTTTTTTCTTGCAAAAAATGTTCCTGAAATAAAATCTCAGTTTTAACTTTAGCATCTTTATAATCTGTTTAGTGTGAAGTTTAAAAGATTTCTACCTGTGGGTCTATGAGGCGTGTAGGATCTGGATAGAGGTAGAACAAGATGCCATCAACGGCTCCGGGCAGCGTGAGTCCACGTACCAGCAGTACCAGCAGCATGACATAAGGAAAGGTAGCAGTGAAATAGACCACCTGGGACAGAAAGAAAGCAGTGTTCTGTCTCAGGCAGATACAGTGAAAGAAGCATGAACTGAAGATGCATCCACTAGTTATTTAAGCAGAAGTTTGGCAAAAAATGAATTTGCACAATTTCTTCTTCAACCACCCCAAATGTGGCTGATCAGCCAAAATGTGAGCTTATAACTGCCAATTAGAATGTGTAGAAACTACATAACCAAGTCTAGCTGAGATTATTTAACTCTTTCCACAGCAGCCATAAAATGCAATCGCCTGTTTTGGAGGTCCCTCAGTTTTTGTACTGTGCCTTTTTTCCTCCATAACACTGATTAAATGTATTTCAGTGGAAATGTGTATAATTTATAAAGACAAACTGGATTTTCATCTTTGTAGGTAAGCAGGCAAAATAACAATTAGAAAAGTGGTTTAATGGTATTTATTTAAATTTGTTATTGTTTCATGATTTTTTATGTGAGGAAAGCTGCATTTGTGTTTTTTTTTCTCAGTATGGCCGTCTTTGTGGAGAGCTGTCAATTGTTTTCACAGTGGGGGTTCTCACCGCCCCCCCACCAAAAATTCACCCCTCAGCGCTCACTAGCAGCACAACACAGTCAGAACATTTCATACACAGATGGCCTTCTTTATCTGATAACAGTTACGGGAAAAATATTTTATTCAGTTATATTAATTAAAAATCAGAGTTGATTTCCAGTCTGCTGGCAGAATGGCCACTAGGGGGCCTGCAGAAAGGGGTCAACAACACAACGCAGACTGAGGCATTATACACAATGCTAATTCATAGGGTATACATTACAATTAATTGTTAGCTATATTAGCCTTGTAGCTCCAGTGCAAATCTAAAGAAGCAAACTTCAGACACCAAACAAATCTTGGTTGATCAACTACATCTGGAGCAAGGGAAATTTTAATGAAGCTCTCACCTTGCCTGTAGACTTCACCCCCTTCCACACACAGAAGTAGCAGATGACCCAGGCCAGCAGCAGACAGAGAGCCAGCTCCCACCGCACACTGCCCAGCTCATACACACTGCCTGTGATATTTAGCACTCTCCTCCTGAAAAAGTATTTTGACTAGTATTCCTTTTTGGCACACGTAGCGATACAGTCATGTTATTGTAATTATGTAATAATAATGACTCACTCCCAGAACTCTTTAACAGGAGACGTTGCATTCTGTGGTATACTCAAGTTGCTAAAACTATCCATCCTGTCAAACTCAAAACAAGTTTCTGTGAAGAAAAGAGGCAGCTTAGCATTTGTGTCTTGATACGCTGCATGCCATTTAAGTCACTGACTTAATTTTGATGAATTAATGTTTGTACAAAAATCAAAATTAAAATACTGAGAACAATGGAAAAAAATCATGAGAAAACATCAGAATTTTCCTTTAACACTACAAATTACCTGTATTCCAAGCGTTACTGCAGCTAGCCCATGGCAGCTGAGAACTAAAGGAGGAAAAGAGGTAGAAGAAGGCCCAGGCCAGGATGATAATGTAGTAGATGCTGGAGTACAACACAACCACCTGACTCCCATAGCCCAATCCTACAGAAAATACATTCAGAAATACAACAACTTACAATACACTGACTATATCTTAATAACCAGCTCAGACGCTTTTGTTAATAAACCATATTAGTAATCAAATTTTGTTAGCACTTAAAAATCACAGTATACAAGTTCAATCCACAACAATACCTGTAATGTATGTATTTCATTCCACAAAAATGCTATAATCTATCTAAATCAATGGCTTCATTACAAGAGCTACAGCCAAATATACTTTAAGCACTGGCTTTAGACTGATCTCTCAGCTTGGAAAATCAACAACTCCAAGTTAACATAATGACAGTCTAAACATAAGGTGTTTAGATAGTGTTCTGCTTGTAGGCAGTCCTTAACCACTGCAGATAAATTAATAATAAAAAAAACACTGTGGGCTCAGGCCCAAAGTTAAACATAAAACTAAAACACACCAACAGGCTGAATAGTGAGTCTGACATGATTAAAAATATGCAGTATAGTAGGTTAGCTAGGCTATAATTATGCATAAACTTGAAAGGAACCTTGTACAGCTGTTCTCAAATGAGTACTACAGGTTTAACGCCATGCGGCCTCGTAAACATCACTTGAAAGTGCCTAATCAGAGCACTGGGCCAAACTACAAACTTTGAAACTAATTTCAACATCAAAATTTTTTATTGGTTATTTTGGAAGTAAAGTCAATTATATATTATTTATTATTCTACCAAAACAACATACAAAAAAATTTAGTCTAAGTGGCTAATTATGCTGCTTAGAACTTAATGGGTAGCTCAGGGGACAGAATTTGGACATTTCAGCTAATGAGGGAGATTTAATAATAATAATAAGAAGAAGAAAAACAAAAACACCTATTAAAGTTGTATACAAGATGTGTATCTTGCATTTCTGTATGGAGAACTTTTCAGACCCTTTTACAGCTGAAAAGCTGCAAAGCTTTCTTTTTTGACCATTTAAAATACTGTTAAAAGGGTAAATTCTCACCTTCAAACAGAGGGCAGATTTTCCTCCAGCAGGTGATGCTGCCCTGACTGGTGTACTGACCCAGTGATATCTCCAAGAGGAACAGTGGAATGCCACAGGCAAACAGGAAGACCACATATGGAATGAAAAACACTCCTAAAAGACAAATATACAATTTTAGTCCCATGTGTGGTCCAAGTAATTTAGTGTGACACTTGACCTATTTCTGGCCTACAGCCCTCAGCACCACAGTGCTGGAGTTGTTCCAAAAGCTGCAACTGTAAAAACCAAAATGACCTTCGAACTCATTTGTTCATCAATCCAAGCTTTTTGTGTGATACTCAAGAGGGCTGTGACAACACATTTACTTTCAGGTAGTAGTTGATTTTAGATTTGATTTTAAAAACAAAATAACACCTAGGATTTCCAAGCATTATCAGAAAAAAAGCTCAGTTGTTTGCGTTTGTGTGAATAAACACACTGTACTCTGATAGGATGCACCCAGATAAATTGCTTTGATCGCTTACAGCAGACATTAATCAGATTCAATACTGTGACAAACCTGGCCTGAAATACCACACACTGTGTGATGTGATGTTATCTGTGCATCACTTCTCGTGACATAGTAGTGTTTGAGTAGTCTGAGCATGACAGGCAATTAAAAAAAGCTTTTAATTAAAAATTTTAAGTTTAGTAGTGTTTAAAGAAGAAATGTCAGATCAGTATTTGTCAGTACTCAAGGTTTCAATATCAGAGAAGAAAAAGTGGTATTGCACCTTCTCTAGTTACACCGTTACTATTTAGCTAATCATTACGCACTAAAATCTGATCACCTGTTTAATTTCTTGACGACCTGAATATCACAAATTTGAAAAGAACTCGATGACAGCTGAGATGTGTGTGAAAAGAACTCTCCCGTTTATTCCCTCTACTCACCTCCTCCATTCTTGTAGCACAGGTAGGGGAACCTCCACACATTTCCCAGGCCGATAATCTGTCCAGCAACTGCCAAGAGAAATTCTACTTTACTTGACCACTGGCCCCTCTCCTGAATTTTTTGCTCTGTTTTAACGCTTCCTGGGTCTGCATAAGCCAGTTTAAACTGCACCTCTGGATCATACTGCATCGCCATATCACTGCAAGGAGGTGAAATGTTTTCAAGCATCTGCAATACTGAGGCTACACAGGGACACAAATGTCTAAAACAGAGTAAGAAGAAACCCCAATGACCACACTTTCAAGGAGGTCAAAGTTTTAGCTTGCAGCGATGTCAAATGCTTTTGATCTCTGGACATTGGATTGGTTCTTGTTTTATATCTTAGTTGCTGAGTTACCTTAAATAAAACATTTGCCTACAGTTTAAATGAACACTGAGTGTTAAATTAACCCATATATAGTTAATATTAACCCAGGTTCAGTGTGCACAAATTCAATTTATGCTGGTAATTATACTGTGATCAAACCACATAAGCACCTGTCTGGGCACTAGGAAGCACTGTTGCCAAGTACCTTTGTACAGCATTACAAAGCAAAGCATTCCTCAGCTTGTTTGACTTCCACTAGGATTCTGAAGAAAACCTGTTTGACGCTAGCCCTGAATATTTCCAGTAAATGCTCTTTTATGTAAAGAGCCCGGTCAATGGCACATCATGCATGGAAACCACGTCCAAAATGTCCAAATTCCTTCTACAGTTTGCGATCCCAGAGAAGTAGCCAGGGCTGCTGATTTTAGTCTCAGACCCAGATTTATGCTGCATTAATGCAGGGGCCATAAATGCCAAAAGCAGAAAAAAAAGGATTCTGTTGAATCTTGCAGAGCAAACAGAACAGCATAATATCACTACTATAATGTCAGGTGGTACTTTACAATATGATCATTTTAAAACCGTGCCAGTAAAACATTTAAAGATTGGTATTACATAATAAGGGCCTTATCTGGGGCCTAAAACTTTCAGCTTGCACAGGCGACCTGTAGAGTTCTCTACCTTGAACATGCATAACAGGTCTGCTGCACATTTCCATCATGTTCTTTTGCATACACTGTGATTTGTTAATAGTGCACTAATGTGCTCGCTGTCCACTCACGTTGCCTTGGCAGCTTTCTGTAAAAATACACAAGACTAATGGAAACTCTTCCCATAACCTGACAGCATTTGATAACCAGTGTTTGTCCTTACATGTTCTGGGGATATCCCACACAGAGATCTCTTGCGAGTATCTAAATAGTTTCCAGTGATCACAACCGCAGAACATTTTAACGCCTGCAGAACTGGGCCAAGTAACACTATACAGACATTGATGGGACATTTCTAATACTAGGGCAGTTGGCAGGGAGACAGCCATAGTAGATGCTGTGATACGTGAGTCTGCTCAAGAAACAGCAGATGTTCAACCTATTAGTCTACTTTATAGGCTATTGGGCATTCCACCTAAAGAAAAAAAGAGACGTGACTAAAGGCTTTAGGTTCTAACTACATGAAATAGTAGTTAATTTAAAGTTCTGTAGCTCAGTTGTAACCCCATGCCCAAGCACGGTTCATCTTGTGCTGACTGAAGAGGGTTAACAGTCAGTTAGATCAAACAAAACAAAGCTGCACGGCAAAACCATGACCTTCAGTTTTATTTCGTCACAAGTCATTCATGAAGAGAACATCACTCCAGCACAGCAAATGCACTATAACAACGAATGAATGGGCTCGACCAGCCATCACGGAAAAAAGAGAAGCACTGCAGTTCTGCGTAGTCCGTAATCAACCTGTCCCCGGCAGACTGAGCAGAGTCGTTATGGACTACAGGAAGAACCGCAGCAACAGCGCCTTCCCTCCCTGCGCCCTTTGGCCTACATTCAGCGGCACAGAGAGCCACCAACGCAGTAGTTTAGAGTACTTCTGTGTGTTCTCTTGCCGGCGCAGACGAAAACACGGGGGAGAAAAGAAGCCAAAAGCTAAAGCCTCAAGAACACGGGCTACTACCCACAGCGACAACTTTACTGAAGATAGAAAGCAAGAAATAACAGCGTGGGATACCTGATGGAGGCAGAAGTCGCTCAGAAGTTTAAGAAGCCGGTCTTGAATGAGTTTGCCTGGACATAAACACTACGGTGAATGAGAAGAGGGTGTTTGTCCTTCGTGTTTTGGTAGTAAGATGGTGAACCAGCTGTCTATCTTTTCCACACGGGCCGCAGACAAGTTCATACACAAATTTGAGTCTGCAGACGCATGTGCCTATATGAGTGTGTGTGTATGTGTGTGTGTATGTGTGTGTGTGTGTGTGTGTGAAACAGTGAGGCGGAGCCTAAAGCGCGAGCCGCACTCTCCTTCGTTCTGATGGGGGCGGGGTGGAGGAGTGTTTTCATGTGCTACATAAAGGGCTACATAAGGAACGACGACCCAGATGAATATGGCGGGTGGGTCGTGTTCAAATTTACATACTCATTTGCATTCCGCTTTGTGATTGGACGCTCCAGTTCACCACTATTTGGACCCAGGCGCGAAGTCTTGCTTAATCCGTAATAAAACTTTACTGATTAATGACTTCATCATCCATAAAAAAACTGCTTCTGCTTATTGAGATGGATAGCTTCTGAGGTCTTGCGTAATACCTAATAAAACCTTATAAAACCTAATAATACCTAATGCTCAGTATGTAATACCTCATAAAACCTTACTGATTCATAAAAAACTGCTTTTGCTTATTGAAATCAAGCAACAGCCTGAAGACTGTTCAAGTAAACATGTTGACCCTCAAGTATACCTATTTATACAAACCCCAAATAAACCTGAGGGGGGTGGGGGGGGATTCTGACTATCATCTGTCATGGTCAGACAAAAACAAAGGTCAAAAAAGGTTAAGCATTGTGCTTGTGTAAATGTTGTTCCTTTTGTTAACCTACAATGAAGCTTGAATGTGTATTTTTTATGTGCAAATGCAAAAAAGTGTTTAATTTTGGGCATTTGTCAACTCTCTTATACAAGAGCTCTTCTTGCATAGCAGTTATTTTTGATGTCACATCTTTTGAATGCATGGCACTGAAGTTTGCTTGCTTGACTTTAGTATAGCCTACACAGGGTTCAGTCTCATTCAGCAAAGATATTTTCCCACTTACTCTCATGCTCATAGGGGATTTACTCTGTTTAAGAGCCCTGAAAAGTGACATTTCTGTCTCCAGTAGTCAGCATTTCTGATCATAAATGACGTTGAATGTAGGTGCATCTTCTTACCTCTAAACCTCAGAATAAAACTGCTGTCTCTTTCTATCATGTACTCTTGATCTTTGCTTATTTTCTAGCTCTCTTCAGAAGCTGTTACCCTCTAAATGTAGTTATGTTATAACTGAAGTTTGAGGGGAGGAGCATGGCTGAAACCCCTCCTTCTTTCAATCTAACGCCCTATAAATCTTCACCTTCTGTGACGACGTGTTCGCAATCCCCACCGCCACCCCATCTCCTCCTCATTCCTCAGTCCTGCATTAGTCCTACTACAGCTATGGGGGGGCAGTCTGGCCTTCTAGCTATAGGCAGAAGCTGCCCAGAACTCCAGCCCAAGTTCTCAGAGTTCTCACCCCTCCCTCAAGCAATTCTTCCTCATACAGACCACCACATGTTGAAGGCATGGTCTGAACTCACAAACTATTCTTAGCTCACTTTTCTTGATTTTATGGTTCACACCTGAACTCAGAGTGAAGAAAGCTTTTGCCACGCAAAGACATCTGCCTTACTGTTCATTCTTTTACACTGAGCATATTAACAAGTAGGGATGCCTTATTGTTACCCATTCCTCTTACCACCCCTCTAAAATCATCTTTGGATTCATAAAGAAAACCGTCCAGCCTCTCACTTAAGCCACTTCCAGTACTGATAAACATAGTCAAACCATCCTAATTTCTAAGGACGAAGTCAGCAGAATTTATCAGCATTTCCCGTCTGACTCACAATTGTCTTTTTTTAATCTGGCACCTATCTGACAGTAACAGCTGACTGTACTTTTACTGATAATCCCTTTGTTTCAGAAAGCATTACTCCCCCTCCTTGACCTTGGTGCAGCATTCAATACTGTATACCATAATAAACTTCACCATTTCTCCTCTTTTGTTTTTTCATGCATTGCACCGATTGGTTTGGAATCATTCACTGCCCCGATTGAACAAGGAGTGCCTCAAGGATCAGCTCTCAAGGCCCCCTCCTCTTTATCTTACCCATAGCCAAATCATCTTCCTCTCTCTGTCAGCTCAATCCTGGCTCTACCCCCTGCACCCCCCCCCTTCTTAAGATCTGTGTATTTTTTTTATCTCTGCTTTCCACCTATCCATAAAAAACCTGGCACTGAATTAAAATCTCTCACTAACAGTAATATAATCTCTCCCTTTCAGCAGAAGTGACGAAAAGAGTGGTAGCTAGGATCAAGCTTTTCTCACTAATAGTAAATTCTACAAGCCTTTCCAGTCTGGTTTCCAAACACAGCATAATACTGAGTCTGCATTTTTGTGAGCTTGCTGCAGATGGCAGTGCTCTTAATCTTCTTCTCGTTGACCTTAAGTAGCGTCCGATACTATGACCCATGACATAGACGTTATCCTGTCTCTCTTATATAGGTGTTACAGCTCTTTATAGCTTTCAAAACATCATCTGACTCCATTACCCAAGGAGTGCCTCAGGGACGAACTCTTGGACCTCTTCTCTTTATAACAAATATATGTTCGCCTTGAGCCAGATCATGCTGCTGACATGGTTTCGGCTTTCATTGCTATGAAGACGGCATCGAGATATATATTATTTAGCCACTGCATCTCCATTCCAGGCTCTGTATACATATTTAATCTTAAGATCTGCATGATTTTTTTTTTTTTTTATTTTTGTTCAAAAAGGATTGTTTTCATTTTTCCTGTATCAATTAATTTGATTCTCTTTTCAGTGGCCTCCTGTCTCATCAACAAAGATAATTTACAACTCCTAAAGCTCATTGAGTTCACATACACTTTAAGAACTGTGACTCTATCATCTAGATTCTCAGTCAGCTCCACCAAAATTCTGCTAAAGTTTTTCAAAGCTCTCTATGTCTTGCCCCTGGAACTGGGCTTCTAGATAGTTCATCTTTTATTTATTACAAAACACTTCTCTTCTTCTATTACTTCATAGCATGTATGTTTTTCCCTACATTGGTTGTAAGAAAGGCTTTATGTAAATAAAACACTTAATAATAATAATAATAATAATAATAATATTGCATGGCATGAAATAAATAATGGAACAATTTGAGAACAACATTTAAAAATGTGGCACAAATTTTGCTGTGCAAAATTAAGTGCACGGCAACTTAAGAGACAAATTAGTGGTCGGGTCAATGATGTGATACAATTCTCTTTATTTTCAAATCTAAAAAAATGGCAGGACGCTGGTTACAATACAGAGCAATAAAATGCCTTTTAATGAACATACTGTATATTGCAAAAGCCAGAGAGCACTCTTCATTTACTTAATTTCCTGTGTTATGATCAGAGAGTTTTTTCTTTTTTTCTCCTTCCCTTTTCTTCTTTTGCTCTTTAACTTCCTGCCGGTCATCAACACAAGGGAGGTG